TTGATGAATCAATAGACTTGCTTTTAAAAAATCTTTATTTGTTTAAATTGTATGCATATTTCAATGATAATTCTCTTTAAACTTATCCAGTAGCTTCAAACAGACACAGAGAAGACATCCCGTTCTACAGACTGAGCTAATTATTTTAAGACTAATTACCATGGATGTTCTTACAGAGTGTTTATCCCTCGGTTGCCTAGAAACAATGCCATTACTCCTCTTAAACAACATAATGAACGTACACTCACAGAGATGATGGGTGGTTAAACTAATTCCCTTGAAACTCACATCCTTCTACTCTGCCTTCGCAGATCTGCTCAAAGAGAAATTACATGCTCTTTCTTATATCTAAAAAAACGCTTTCCCCATAGTCCATGGTGTAACCTGCGTCTTGCCTGTTGTCAGCTGGGATAGGCTCCAGCCTATGGAGCCTAGGATAGATGGGGGGGTTGCCTGCTAGTCTTATTTTAACAAGAACATTAAAAGTTTAGGACATTTCACTTTTACTTTTAAGGTTTGAGGCCATTCAGTTCAGCAATTTGTAAGATTGCCTGTCACCCACCCGAATAGCGGACAACCAGATAGCATTGTCTATGTAATCTAATAAATTTCATACATAATTTATGTCTCATGGTGTTTCTTCTTTCTCTGTGAAGTAGAACTACCAGCTGTGCTTAATTTGGTGCACAGAGAGAAGTTTAAGTGGTTCTGATAGAATACATTTTTCCATCACCATCAGCCATATTCACACAAGTAGAAAAGTGGATTGTTTGGAACAGGAAAAACTTAAAGAGACACAAAAGACAGGAGGTAAGATTAGCAGCAGCAGCAAGACAAGGATTACTGGAGTTTACAGCGAGACTCTGACTCATTTTGACTCACTTCTTTGTTTATCACATAACTTAAAACATCTGTCTCTAAGTGTGCCATTTGGAGGCAGAGACGAAGTCAAACTGTTGGACAAAGAAGACTTGTATTCAAATCCCCTTTGAAAAAAATCAGTTTTAAAAAAAAGCCCAAGTGTGTTTTTTATTGAGCGAAATGTCTGAAACCGGTCTTGTTGACAGATAGCTGTGGCATGCTGTCAGTCAGGACCTGCTTCCACATTCCAACATGGGCTACACGCCCATCACACCTGGACAAGGCCTTGTGTCCTCAACCTTTTTTTTAAACTTGTGTTTGAGGATTTATTAAGACCGTATTTTCCTCCACACTAAGGGCGAATGGAGAATATAAAAACTAATTCTCCATCTCCGGCAGCCCTCATGATGAAAAAGATACATACCCATGAGACTCAGGTGACAAAGTGACACCAGTGCCCTGCTCTGTCATCCACGTCCTCGCATCTCCTCATAATTTACATATATTCGTAGGTTTCCCATTGGCCGGATGGCAAAAAGAAGGTGGAGCTGCATCTCACACCACTGACTCGTAAGCAAAAGGGGAGTGTCTTCGAAACAAATTGGCAGCAGGAAGGGTAGGGATGGCAGATGGAGGATAGATACTCCCCTGTCAGGTGTCTAACCAAAGCACCAAGATTCCTTACAAAGTAACAACAATATCCCTCATCTGGATAACCCGCGGGCCGGTCGACCGGTTGAGTCGCAGCAGGAGGGCCCAAGGATGCAACTGATACATGTGTTGTCAGAAAGCGGATCATTTTAATACACTGTGAACTGGGAAGGAGCCATTGTTTTTAGTGAAAAACTATAAAAGTTACGAGCATCCCCGCTGGATACCCAGCAACCCTTCCAAAGCTAGCAGTCCCAGTTGTTGTTCCATTTCACAAGATGTTTCAATAATATCTGTCTTTTAGGCTGGTCCCAAACCCGTAGATACTGTCTCATCCTCCCCCTCTCATCTGACTGTGAAACATCAAGGTGATTCCCATTAAGTGTTTCCCATGACACCACAGTATCGTCTTACACTTAATCAAACACAATACAGTACTTGTTGTCTTTGGATAAACCAAGGTCACACCATTGGAGCACATTGAATATCTTCTGAGCCTCCTCAGAGATGTGCCTTGAATTTTATGAACATTTGATTTATGCTTAAGATTTTTGGAGATTATTTCTCATATTAGATGCTTACTCCGATCGTCAACTTGTGCAAAAATGACAAGCTTTTACTTAGTTTTTCGGCCTTTAAAACTTTCCACCTTCACAACTATGAATGTAATGACTTTTGCATCAGGACTGTAACGTTTTATAAATTAAATACTTTTTTCAAGTAATGGTTTTGTGTATTTGCGATTAGGTTCTGGAATTTATCGGATTCTTAATTGATTCAATCAAGGATCCATCAAAATCAGAGAATCTTTACAAATCTACAGGATTTGAGAATTATCACAGGAAATAGATATATTCAACATTATCAGGAACCAAACTGACACTATTCAAGAGACAACAGGATGGAGGGACATTCCACATATCTTACTTGGGTGGTGGCTATCTTTAGCTGAATTCTGCATTGATTTTCCAGACCTGCTTCAATAGTGTTTGGTAAAAGATTAATCCCTTCATAAAACCAGTTTCCATTGATTTTCATTACAGTTTTTGTGTCATTATGCATACCGGAGTCCTTTCTCTCTGGTTGTTTTCTTCAAGTATATTTTCTTAACCTTCCGAGGAAACCAATGATGAGAAATCATTGAACTGAAAATGGATAAACTGGAGGACCAGATGTGTCTTATAGGTCATATCTCATGCTTCTATTGTTTTTTTTCCATGTTTCATCCTGATATCAGTTTGAGACCTTGATCTTTTGTCTTCCACCTGCATAGTTCCCACGAAAAAGGAACAAACGTAACACCAACCATTGCACCAAAAACGCCTTTGGCTAATAACTCTGGGACTGAACTTATTCTTGAAGATAGCATGGAAGTCTGGTTTATTTAGAAAAATGAAAGCTAAGGGGAGGTGGGTAGTGAGTACTGTTAACTTGACCAAACCAAACATTTACATCTTCAAATTCCATCTCATAGTGCAGGAACATTTTCCAGAACGCTACAATGTTAACAGTAAAAAATCTGGACCCAGATATGTTTGCCACATTGGCTCAAAAATGACTGCAAGTAATTTATTATCTAAGATGTTATGAATGCTTTTCATTTGGTGTGCTTTGCCTGTGGAGCAGACAAAGCTGCTGAAGAGCGTTTCATACCCAGAACTGTATCCTGAATGACTCTGTTCAGCTAATGTGAATTCTGTTTAAAAAGACATTTTTGCATTTCAAATATTAATACGTCACTGTTTGTGTAGTTAGGGTAGCACTGTGGTAACTTTTGTTTTAGTTTCCAGTAAGTCAAATGTACGATTTTATTGGTACTGCTGATGTAATGAACTACTGTTTTCATTTGCTGATATTGTACCTCAGCCACCAAAGGGGGAGGTGTTTCTGTTTTTCCTCATGATCTAAATCACATGAATGCATGAGGGGATATCAGGCACAAGTGGTTCATGCTTCCTATCAGGAGGAAATGCTCTTTCTTAGTTGTCATTGATTTGAGGAGCAAGGCGAATGTACAAAACGCAAATATCCATTGATGCTAACAAACTGTCCATATTGGCTCAGTATGACTACTCACCTGAGCACAACAACAATGAGGCGTGTCAGACTCATTTACAACCCAGATATAAATATTTTTCATTAGATAAACAGTGGCCAGATAAGGGGAGCCAAAGCTATGTGGACAAAAGGAGTTGGATATTGGAAAAGACCGATCTCCATCTGGCCCAGATACACACACCTCCATTCTAAATGTGTGCTCAGAGTCCTTCCTTTACTTCACACAGATGATAAGAAACAGAGGCCAAGATCTAGGGTGTAATATAGAAAGAGGCCCTCGAGGGTTTTAGGCTTAACAGGTACTGTAAGCACGGGAGCAGAAAATGTTCCGAAAGTTTTTTTTGTCTTATTTTTCCACAATATCAGCACACAACAGCTTATATAGCTCTATCGTCCATCAGTTTGGGTAGTTTTGATACATGTAGCTTGGGAAAGTTGATCGCGACTTTAAAAAAGGCCAAAGCGACCTCCAATCTTTTTACTTGCTTCCAAAGGACCAGACTTTCTGGTGATCTTCAAAGGTGGTCATACGCAATAATGGACATGCTTTTTTCTTCTAATTTCTTCTCATTTTAAAATAAATTAATTTGAATTTCATTAATTGCTTCATTTAAAAAACCTGAAGAAAAATAATAAATACATTTGCAACAATATGCTCAGTCCCAAAAAGCTTATACCTAAAAATGTGTACTATATCTGCATGGTTTGAGGTCTAACTTTAAAGATTTAAAAGAAAGTAACAAAGGGGAGATTAAAAAAAGATGGTAGAGGTTTAAAAACATGGGGAAAACCGAATAAGACGTGACATAGGACTTGATTTGTAGAAATTCAGTAGTGTTTAGGTGTCTAGATCATCATTACCTACCTGCCAAGCAAACAATTTACACCACATGAGGAAGAAGTCACTATTTTTTTCAAAATGAGAGTATTTACAGGTTGGTGTCACACACACCTGTAGCTTAAAACCAATGAGCACTAAACAAAGTTAAACTAGTTTGTCACTACACTCATAACTATGACTGCGCTAATTATGATCGATCAGGTTATTTTTTCAGTGGGTTTGTTATAATTATTACCCTCTCAGAAAAAAAACTCTCGCCATGTCTCAGACGTGAGCCCTCTGTTGTGACATACGTGTCTGCGGCGCCCTCTTGTGGTCAGATCGAGCGGCGCAGCCTCGTCACACACACATACACCTGTTGCTTATCGGCACTAAACAAAATTAAACTAGCTTTTTCACGGAATCATAACTATGCCTGGGCTAATTATGATCGATCAGGTTATTTTTCAGAGGGTTTGTTATTGATTATTCCCCCTCTTGCCATGTCTAAGACTCTACTTCATGAGCCCTCCGTTGTCCTCGGTTGGGACATGCGGGTCTGTGGCGCCCTCCTGTGGTCAGCTAGAGTAGTGCAGCCTCGTCACCGTCCTCCGCTCAGGTGAGCTGGTTAATGTTTTACCTGCGCGAGAACACGTCACGGTAAGCTTCTGGGGAGAAGACGCACTGGGCGCCTTGGCTACAGTGACCCATGCCTTTCTGACATTTTTTCAAGACACGACTGGACTCTGAAGCCTCTTGTGGAAACTTTGCGTGCTTTTTTACAAACTGCCGAGGGTACGAGGACAATGTCTGCCTCTGCTATATTTATCTTGGATCTGAAGGGAAAGGTAAGATTGTTAGAGCTAATTACGGTCGCTGTTTATTTCTTATACGGCTGCACACCGCCTTTATTTGGAAATGACCCCAAAAAAAGAAAATGAATTTAAATTCTTAATCGAATTATTTTAAAGTTTCCACTGTTGCTTTAACTGTTAAACATTAATGGCGTCGTTAAAAATTAATGGAAACATTGCGACCGACTCATTCATTGTTTTTTTTTACTTCCGGATTTGGTGGCAATACGATCTGCTGCCCCGAATAACGCAAGTGAAAGCGTCCCCTCGTTTCACACTTGTCATTTCCTTCTCACACGAGTTGTATATACACTATTATTCCTATGCTGACAAAACATGGTACTGACTATCCTCAAACTTGCTCGCGTGTGGCTTGTAAACACGAATAAAAGGGCACAAGAATGAGACTTGAACAGCTGTAAAAAGATGGGACATTCCATCCTCCAGCTGTAATCTAATCCCACTGGGTCCCAAATAACAAGGTAAAAGGGAGGTAGCTTTTTCCTTTGAGAAAAAGATCCTAGCACAGATTAATCTTCATAAAAGCATTGCAAAAAACATCTTTGTTTGGCTTCTCAAATGTCATGCTTTTGTTTTCATTATTGAACAGTTTTATTGTGGCTGTGTAGTGTTATAAAGTAACTTTGTGTGTTAGTGGTGCATCCAATAATAATTTTTCGCCGTCTTCAGAAATGTTCAGGATCATGTTAACCCTTATAGCCCAGCTTAACCACACTAAAAGTGTTGTCTTTGGTTCTGTTTGTTCATTTGTAACTGTGACTTTGAAATATTCAAAGTTTTTTCCTCAAATAACTGAATCATATTATCTCAGCTGTGTTGTTCAAATGTCTGATTATCGGTCGAAAGTTCTGTAAGGCTTTTTTGTTCTTTAACAGCTGTGTCTGGTTTGGGCATGGACCCTGAGAGCTCTTGGTTTATCCTTCTAAGATGTTATGTGGTTTCTTATAGTCTATTGCGAAACAAAGATGGTGGGATTTCTTCACAGTATTCCAAGTCTATGTGGAAATCTGTTTAGATTTTAATGCTGGATAGACTGAAGATTGTACATTTATTATAATTTTTTCTACATTTTGCTCACTAACTGGAATCGGAATGGTTTTGTGGTGCAGATGGGAACTCCTGAAAACTTCCAAAGTTCCATGCAACATATGACTTGATCTTTTTTGAGGTTGGAGTCAGTTAGTTTGGAGTCTCTGTGCTGGGACGAGGTTCATTTTCCTGTTCAGGGAGGCTCCTGCTGTAAGCTGAAATGCGAGGACTGGAAATACAATTGGTGTCATTCACATACAGCCGCCTTACAAGGGTTCAGATGTCACTAAACACCTCTTATTCGCTGCTTGTTTTTTCAAATAACCAGGTTGCTGTTAATCCCCCTGCATAGGTGCTGATATGTCGGAACTACAAAGGCGACGTGAACATGGCAGAGATTGACCACTTCATGTCTCTACTCATGCAACACGAAGAAGAAGGCCTTCTCTGTCCTGTAATGTCGCATGGCAGTGTTCACTTCATGTGGATCAAGCACAGCAACCTCTACCGTATCCTTGCGTGGGCCACCAATACTTATTGTGTGATGAGAGGAAAAAAAATTACAAAAACAGCACGAATCGTCTCACAAAATAATCCTTGACTTAATTCCTGTACAGTTGTGGCCACGACAAACAAGAACTCAAACGCCTCCCTGGTGTATTCATTTCTCTACAAACTAGTGGAGGTGAGTGGCGCATGCAGGGGTTTACTATTGAATGAAAGCATTATGGGAGTAATGTTATGCTTTTTTTTGGATCTATTATTTCGAGTTTATGTTTTGTGATTAGGATGCAGTCTGTTCTTTGTGTGTTCACAGGTCTTTACAGAGTACTTCAAAGAACTGGAGGAGGAGAGCATTCAGGATAATTTTGTGGTAGTCTACGAGCTGCTGGATGAGCTGATGGACTTTGGATTCCCTCAAACGACCGACAGCAAGATCTTACAGGAGTACGACTTCTCAAAATATGCACACATCTCTGGAAAAACCATTTAGTATGATTTTTTTTTTTTTTATGATACAAGCGTATCTTATTATTTGCAGGTATATAACTCAAGAAGGCACTAAGTTGGAGGTGGCAAAATCCAAGGTGCCAACCACTGTCACTAACGCTGTTTCTTGGCGCTCAGAGGGTATCAAATACAAAAAAAACGAAGTCTTTATCGACGTCATTGAGTCCATCAATGTACTGGTAAGATGAAGATTTCTTTCTTTTTTCTCAAATAAAGGTCAGTGGTACTATATCAGCATCTGGTGATACAAGGTGCGAAGTACAACAAGTTAAGCAATACTTTTCCTCAAACTACATTAATCAGCCATAAGGTTATGACCACCAATGGTTAAAGTGACCTACACTTTTCGTCTTGATCCAATGGACTGTTTTTCTGGGACAAACCTGCATCCTGAAATTCTATGATTTATCTTTGAGAAAAATAGCCCATAACAGCACTGTATGGCCACACTACTCTCTCATGGAGAGAACAACAATGGAGGACATTGTGGTGACTAGCTAGCAGCTGAACCTCCTTATTGGACCATGGTATTAGTTAATGTGTAGCTTTTCGCAACATAGACGATCACAGAAGTAAGAAAATTGCAGATCTGTTGTTATCACAGTTTTAACATATGCCGGGCTCTCCTGAAGCTTTCGGCTTTTTACCATTGAGTCATGTGACTGCTTGGCCTATCAGTGGCCAGCAAAGAAAAATCAAAAGGTTGCATAATCATACGTTACACATCTGAGTGAGCCTCATATCATTTTGGTATGAAATCTTTTCTTCTGATCAGTGAGTTGTTCCAGCCTATGACAACATAGTCAAGTTTTCATCGGTTGGAAGAAGAATAACTTAAATAACTTCAAAAAGACTTAAAAACTTAAGTCTGAAGCAGCTTAAGTTAAAGTTTGTGACACAGCTGTCGCAAAAGATCGGGATTAAAACGTTTTTAAAAAGAGTTTTAAAACTTTTTTGGGCTCATTTGTTCTTTTTGGCATCTATAAATAAGCCTAAGGCAAATCATATTAATTCATGTATCATCAAAAATAGTAGTTTTCAGCTTTGATTTAGTCTGTTTAACCAGCCATTGTGGTGAAACAGTCTATTTGATGAGAAATTTGACATTTTAAAACTATTGCATGTTTTTTGTTTCTTAGGTGAATGCCAATGGCAGTGTGATGAGCAGTGACATTGTAGGCAGCATTAAGCTGAAAACCATGTTGTCCGGGATGCCTGAACTGCGCCTGGGTCTCAACGATCGAGTGCTTTTTGCCCTCACTGGACGTATGTTTTAAATGTTTTATCAGAGGATATGGAGTTGATGTAAAAATCTGGAATTTCATGATGTAGTAGGTTAATCCATAAATTGAAAGGTAATTTGTGCAGTTCACATTTCCAAGATACACATTTTTATCTCACCAAAAAAAGGTAGCTTTTAATATAACTTGGATGGAATCGGATTTGTTACTTTGTCTCTCTCCCTCAGATTTCTATGTTGGCTTGCATTTCATGAAGAATATGCTTCACAAATGAAAAGCAAGATTATTATGAACAGACTATTTTGTCATAGCCTTATTATTGCAGCCTTCTGCATCAAACAGCCTCTGGCAGATTTCAGTTATAAACTGAAGGGTGTGGAACATTAACTGAAAAGTGACTCATGTAGTGCCATCACTTTAACAGAATGAGCAATCTATCAGTGAATCCCTCCCATAAAGTGACAGTTTGCATCAGACTTTTCTGGATACACCAGAAAATTGTGTTTTGTTTTTTTGGGTATACATGTTTTATTTTTGGGCTGCATGGTGGTGTGTGGTGTTTTGCCCTGTAGTCTCACAGCAGAAGGGCTCCTGGTTCAGATCCCCGGGGGCCTTTTTGTTAGCATGTTCTCCCCATGTATGTGTGGGTTTTCTCTGGAGACTCAAAATATGCACAAATATGCAAATTTCTAGTAAGAGTGTGTGTGCTTTGTGTGTGGTTATTTGTCTCTATGTGGCCCTTTGATGAACTGACAACCTGTCTAGAGTGTAGCCTGCCTCTTGCCCAGTGACAGTGGGGCTAAGTCCCAGCCCCCCTATGACCCTACTAGGAATAAGCAGTTAAAACAAATGTTTTTTTTCTTTTTAATGTTCGTATTTTTGGATTAAAATGTAATCTAAATGTAATGTGTTGTGTCTAGGAGACAAGGGGAAGACCGTGGTGATGGAAGATGTTAAGTTTCATCAGTGTGTCCGTCTGTCACGCTTTGAGAGCGATCGGACAATCTCTTTCATCCCTCCCGATGGAGAGTCTGAACTGATGTCCTACCGCATTAATACTCATGTACGGTCCCTCGTTTCATGTCTGATTTTCTATGTAATTCAAACCGGATGAAGTTTACTTGTGTGATTAATCACCTTGTGTTTTTTGTCACACAGGTGAAACCTCTGATATGGATTGAATCGGTCATAGAGAAATTCTCTCACAGTAGAGTGGAAATCATGGTTAAGGTAATTTGCTGAATTGTATGTATTTGATCTAAATGTCCAGACTAAAAGTATATACATTTTATCCAATATCAGCGCCACTTTAGCTGTTTACTTTAAAAACCTGTCAGGCATTAAAATATCTATATATTACTAATATACTAATATAATACTAATATATTAATTTCATATAATTAAATCCTTGTTCTTAGTGCAATATGTGTTTGTTTACGTAATAGCAGTGATACATGCCTCTGTTGGAACATATAAGCTGCATGTTTGCCTCAACTCATAAGATGTCATTCTATTTTGTGCTGCATTTTTAGGCAAAGGGACAATTTAAAAAACAATCTGTGGCCAATAATGTAGAGGTGAGGGTCCCGGTCCCCAGTGATGCAGATTCACCCAAGTTCAAAACTAGCACAGGCAATGCCAAGTATGTACCAGAGAAGGACATGGTGGTGTGGACCATCAAATCTTTCCCGGTAAAAATAAAAAGTCTTAACAGAGTCCTTTTAATATGGAAATGGAATGGAGTTGAGAATAGATTCTCCATCACTAACTGATTAATTTTGTTCATTCATCATCACAGGGAGGAAAAGAGTTTCTCATGAGAGCTCACTTTGGTTTGCCCAGCGTTGAGAACAATGAGATGGAGGGAAAACCACCTATCACAGTCAAATTTGAAATCCCCTACTTCACAGTCTCGGGAATTCAGGTATGTGTTGAAAAAATTGAATGAAGTCATAAAAGAGCTGGTTCAAGAATATTGCCTAAGATATCGAGTCAAGTTATTATGCTAATATATTGTGTTCCTTCTCGGATTAAAATCTTTCAAAATGTAATTATACTGTAAATATATATTTTTTTTATTTTACATCTATGATACTGCTAATGTCCCATCAAGAGCTGAGGTGCTTGTTGTGAGAAGCTAAATTTAACTTGATGACACATTTTCTCTCTTCTACATCTTTGATTCTTCTTTATCAGGTTCGATATATGAAAATCATAGAGAAAAGTGGTTACCAGGCCTTACCGTGGGTCCGGTACATCACACAGAGCGGAGGTATATGATTATAGTATGAAAATTATCATATTTATATGTTAAAACTGACATTTCATATCCCGTACTTTTGTTTCCTTCTTTAGATTACCAGCTGAGGACCAATGTGTAAAGCTTAGAAATGCTTTATAGCATATTCTTCACTTCACTTCCAGAACGTCCACAGGAGCAGAATGTACTGCACTGACAGAATGTCTTAAATATGTCACCAGTTGTAATGTTTCTTATTGTTCTATGAAATTGGTTTGAAACGTGATTTTTTAATGTGCTTTCTGTACTATTATATCAAATAATTTAAATCAAACAATCCTCTTGAAACACATTTTCGTCACTGTTCTTTGTTGTTGTTTTTTTGGTGATTTGTTTTACTGGTGTGTTTCAAAACCATTTAAGGGGACGTTTTGCCATTATATTATAGTTGGGCAATGTACAATCACAGTCGCCAAATTCCGCCTAAAATTAAAAACTAGCACCCGCCTTTTTTCTACACTCGGCTCTGGAGAAACACAAGCAAAGGATGGAAAACTGAATGAACTGGCTGAGACGCCAACGTATACAAATCGCCCGCTTTCCTCGCCTCGTGCTGCGATTGGTCAGCTGCTGCTATTACCACAGAGATAGCGTAGTAACAGTGTCGAAACTCCACCCCTTTTGCCATATATGAAAGTCCCACGCCTACCACATGAGCTGTGATTGGTCGGCGTTTGCCCTCTCCAATGTTTGTAAATTGTAGTCCAGCGACACCGCTGTTTTGGATCTCAGCGCGCAAATGTATTTGTTAATGTTGACAAACTCCTCTTGTTTGAGCAGTATTTGAAAATAGGTGGTTTGAAGAAACAGCGGGCTGGAAAATCCTATCGACGCTTTGGCTCTCAACGAACTGAACAAGGTACTCGTAAAAGCTTTGTAGTTGATTCAACGTTAGCAATTAGCCTTTTTGCTACTTGTTACTAATATTCAATCAATGTGACTTCCACACATCGGCGCAATAGATTTTTTTGTTTTGCCGTATTGTTTCAGGGTATGTTTACTCAAAACGAGGGGGTACAACGGTACGGTTACAGTAACATAACATGGCGTCAGCGGGGAACTACAACTTACGTTAGCCGGATGCTGCAGTAATGTTAGCTAGGTGTGGGCGACAACTATCTTCCTGGCTCTTAAGTCATTGTCATTTTTAAATGGTTTTTCACGGGGAAAACCGAAGGCGACTCTAGCTTGTTACTGAGATACGTGTCCCATTGCGCAGGCAAGAACGGAGGCTATCATGGTCCTGAGTCAGATGGACGCCGGTAAAGCTTTGACGGCGGCAGCAGCCAAAGGGAATCCCAGCGAGGTGCAGCGGATCTTGGAGGAATGCAGGGTACATCCTGATACTCGGAACGAGTTTGGCAGGACCGCGCTTCAGGTGAGGATTAATTCCACCGAAATTTGACGTTATTAACATTTCCAAAAGAATTCCACCACACATATATGAATTGTGTTGACACCTGTTGTGGGTTTCCACGGTCTTTTGATCACCGAACCATCTTCTCTTCGTTTAGAGAGCCGTACGTACAGTCCGGCGGAGCACCATTGTTGTGTTATTGGACGTGGCCGTTTTAGTCCGACTTGTTCATATTTCCAGTTTTTCTGTTAGTTACTGAAAAACAATGTTTTCATATTTCACTTGACAGGAACAAACCAAAGACGTGTAGTCGAATTTGAAGTTATTGCATAGTTTTACGTAAATAACGAGACTTAAGTTAGATGGCGTAAGCCGTCTGCGTAAATGTTTTCTGGTTTAATTAAAGAGAATGACAGAAGGCGGGGAAGTGTCCCCGTACAAAATTTTGAAATCTTGAACCAAAAATATCTTAAACCACGAAGTGAAGCAAGCCAAAGTTGTTTTTCTAAATGGTGCAAAAATAAAAATTATGAATCTAAATAAATTTTTAAGCTGTAAGTACTGACTCAATCACTTAACTAAAATAGTTCCATACCCACACTAGACAACTCCCACATTGTAAAAGCTTAATTTGATATTCTTTTCTTTACATGTTAGATTATGTCACTTAGTTTAAATGTACTTGCTGAACTTATTCAAAATCACAGACTTTTATAGGGCTTTATTTGTAATAACTGTGACATTTGCATTCATCAGGGTTTATTTAAACTAAATTCTTCAAAGGTATCTGTGCATTCCGTGAGGAGATGTGACTTGAGAGTCTGAGTCTAAAGGGTCACAGCTCGCCAGTTTGCACAGAGGTGAAAAAGTACTGAGGTCCCCTCTGATGTGTCCCACAGGTCATGATGATGGGGAACCCCAAAGTAGCGAGCCTGCTGTTGGAGAAAGGCGCAGACCCCAACGTGTGCGACAAGCACGGGATAGCGCCCATCCACGACGCCGCGCGGACGGGGTTCCTGGACACTCTCCAGGTTCTGGTGGAGCACGGCGCTTCGGTCAACACCCCGGACGAGAACGGCGCCCTGCCCCTCCACATCGCCATCCGGGAAGGCCACCGGGACGTTGTGCAGTTCTTGGCGCCGCGATCGGACCTCAAGCATGCCAACGTCAGCGGGCAGACGGCGATAGATGTGGCCCGGGCCTCATGTGTCCCCGATATGATGGACTCGCTTTTTGCTCATATTCATAGTTAGTTAGGGACAGCCTTCTAACTGACTCAAACCTCACTTCCTGTTTTTTTTTTTTTGCTTCAGACCTGGTGACTTGAATTCATTGCTGTGTAAAGGATTTAGTTTGTATTTTTCATTAATGGTGGCTCAGCATTAATATGTGACACGGGACATATTGTCTTGGCAGCTTATTTTCAGTGGATGGGTGGCTATATACTGTAGACACCTCTTTTGCACAGTGCAATTTAGGCACCTTATATACATAAAAATATATATATGAATCTTTTTTTTTTTCCCTATTGATTGGGAGTGCACATCTGTAGATAGTTCCCCCTCCCCTTCCCTCAGTGTTGTCTAATTATTGCATTCTTTTCATTGTGTACGAACTGTAACAGTCTATACACACGTCTGTTTCTTTTTAAACGACAAAACTTGACATGGTGCACCCTGTTTGCTTTGCATAGTTGGGTTTCTCTTACTTAGATGTACTTAGACCTTGAATTTACTCTTATTTATTGTTGGAATAGGACTGAATATTCCCGTGACTTTGTAAATGGCTACATTTATTGTGATTTTGTTGAAATGTTATTTATACAAATACTTTTAAAAGACAAAAGTGAGATTCTTCACTTTGAATATTTGAAGAAAGCACAAAATAAAGAGTTGAAGTTGAATTGTCTGTGTTTTTTTCCCCCCTTTTAAATCATATCTGGTATTTAGCCTCACAAGGACAGCAACTTTTGAAGTAGTAGTATAAGTATAAACAAAATTTATTTTTGATGTTTTCTTTTGTTTATCATAACCCTTAACTGCAATTCTGGAGATGTTTAGCCTTTTTTTCTTTGTAATCTAATCTTAACTAAGACATGAAGGCCGATGATTAGATTCCAACTTGGTTTTATAATATTTCAAAATCTCCACAAACCCAAAGAGTCTCATGTATTTAACAGAACTTTAAGTGCCTGGGACTTTGTCAAGGTGATTCATGAAGGGTGCTGCTAATAACTGAACGCTGGAATGCACAACACAAGGAAAGCCCTCTCAAAGGTCACAAAGATAAGAGCACTGAAACTGAAAAAAGAATGAGGAGCCTGTTGCATGCGGGCTCGTAGGTAACCGTGGCACAGTTTGCTGATGTTTGTGCTCACTCGCAGCACAATGGCTATTTTGTTTGCTTGTGCGCCGCTGGCTGACTTCACCAGACGAGGAAGAAGACACAGTCGATCCACTGTGCTGCACGTTCACTGTAAAAAAAAAAAAAAAAGGCTCCGGAACATTCTACATGTGCCTTCGTGTGTCAGTCATTCTTATCCCTCATTTAGCCGTTCAAGGTTTAAATTTATTTTCCGGAGGGGGAAAAAAAAACTAGAGAGAGTTTAAGATTCTATCCTTAATAAAGAATCATTTACAATCTTTGCTCAGACTTTCCCAGATGAGTCATAAAAACAGCCCTCAGCTTAAGAGGTGGACAGTGCAGCCACTCCCTTATCTTGCATCATAAAAAAAAATGAAGACCATGCTAAATTAATGAGCTATTTATTATCCGTGTAAACTGTGATTGTGATAAATCAGGCTCACACACACACCCAGCCGCTAGATAGAGCTCAGTGTCTAGGCTGTGAGCAATGTGGGTGTGCACACATACTTCCTGAGTAAATACTGCCGTGGTTGGCTTGTCCCTCAGGTCGAAAGAAATACTTCAGCAGGAACAAGTCTGCAAGAAGCCAGATAATAGAAATAGTAGATAAAGAGAAATACGAAGGACACCAGTCAGTTTATTCTGTCAGTCACGTCGTCAAGCTTACAAATGATTTAGGGATATATGATCAAGACAAGAAAGTCAATAATTGAATGAGAAAAGTTTTAAAGTTATGAGAATGTGCTGAGAGAATAAAATTCTTAAATCTGTTTAAAAAATGTTTTATATATACTCAGCCCGTTTTTCTACTAACTCATCTTCTATGTAAATAGGCCACACATTTAGGGTTTGACAAGTAGCTTATAATAAAACAGCAAAATATGTATATAATGAAGAGTGTTCGAGAAGTGTTTGATAATAATAGTTCCCAAACACGATTTACTTAAACTTTTTTTTTTTTTTTTTACTGTGGTTCAATTTATTTTTGGTACACATTTCAGTAAAATGCTGCAACAGCTTCCCAATTTCTGCCTGATAAGAAGGAGGAGGAAGAGGAGGAGAGGTGTGACTCAGGAGAATGACACAATGACATGTCTGTGTATCTGTGCAAAGTGGGGAAATGGATACACTTCCTCTATCAGAAATGTGTTTTTTTTTCAGTGTTAATTCTTACCCAAGCTGTTTTGTCACTCAGAGGCTTCGATTCATGGCCAAAGAAGAATGACGCAGACAAAAGGGGGTGACACAGACAAAAAGAATAAAGAAAAGTAAATGTTATGTGTCCATTTACCACTAGAGCAGCTGTATTGCTTCCCTGGATAAAGCTGACAAGTCAGCAGATTCTCCAAGAAAAACATTCCATCATTCTGAATGTTGATCACTGTTGAACCCACAGATTGGGTCAACCTGGAAGGCTATTGTGCTTTTTTTTTTCAACATTTAGCAAATACATTTGTCACCCATGCATTTGGGTGAAAATTCAGTTAAACTTAACTACATTTAGAGCAGCTCCTTTATCTCTTGGGTCAAACGGAAAGATATTTGGCAAAAATTATATTCATAAAAAATCAAAGTAAGTTAAGGACTTTGGCACAGCTTTTTCATGTGACCTTCCACATGATTGTGTGCCACAACACTCCTGCTCTGTTTAGGCTACGTACCTTCACCCATGCGTGAACTCACGGTGCTGCAGGGAATCCCGACCTGGGGGCAACTGAATCCGAACCTCTGAGGCAAAGACAAAAACACTGCCAGAGGAGGCCTGATGACCTGGTTTCCACCTCTAAAAACTGCAAATGTGGTGGTTAGCACACATTGTGTTGATGTCTGCAAACATCTCTCTGTTTGATGTTAAAGCAGCTGGAAGAAATGTTTGTTATTTCAACTCCTCTTCACACTGTGATACAGACATGTGCTCTGTTGGTGTCACATTTGACCAGTTTGATAAAGAATTAAGACATCAAGTACAAGTGAGGCTTCCTGATGTGTTTTTTTTTTATAACTTCATTGCTAAAACCTGTGCTAAATACTCCCCCAGGTCATATGAATTATTAAACACGGTGAAAGCTGAACAGAGGGGCATGTTTGTGTGTGCTTTTATCACAGAGGTATGTCCTTAAACTGACTGACTGTTTTGGAGCCATGCAAGCCAAGACATGACTGTTTAGGCTGAGAAGTTGGGGCAGTTGCTCAGTACAGTTCTCTCAGTTTGAGAGAGAGAGAGACTCTTCGAGAAAAGATTAGTGAATAGACTACAGAAACAAGGCGGCTTATTACTCTCTTTTGGCGTCTTTTGCCAACTAAGCCATTAAAATATGTGTTATATGAATAAACGACAATAGCTTACACATTAATAACGGTTAGAAAGACATTCTTTACATATAGAATTTTACATTTCTAATTACAATTGGAACAAACTGTCTTTGTCATCAAATAAATCTTGTTTTGGCAACACTGAAATAGGATTGTTGAAAATTATGATATCAAAACAATTAAATGTGATATAGGGATTTGATCATCATTGAAAAAAATATATATATTGATTGCACACTGGGGGCTTTATGTGCAGTTATTATTGACAAAAGGAACAAAACTATATAAAATCAAAACGATATTTTTAATCAAGATTTCAACTGATATGATATTGTCAATATGAGGAAATTTGTTGGAAAGGATAACCATGTCATCGTGACAGCCCTCATCAGAGAGTGATATATTTAACACAAATTACACAGAATAAGACATGTCTAAGACTTATAAAATTAAACTTAAGAAACACAATATACACTTACAAGCTGTTTAAAGCTTTGCTTAGGACATAAAAAACACATTTAAAAAAATCATACTTTTTCATCACCTTTGTTCTGATTCAACTCCTCTCTCCATCGACATGAATGAGCAAACAAAGAGACAAATATCTTTTATCTGTCAACTGAAAGCTTTTTTTAAACCTCCCATTAGCCATGAACCCGAGAGGCAGCAACTTGAGCTGACCTATTTTGAATACACTCGTATTCATATAAACCTGTTCAACAGGATATGGTACAAACATAATCAGTAAAAATACCTAAAAAATGTTAAAAGCTGTAGTTTAGATTTTTTTTCCGACAAAACCTAAATCAATTCTGTGAGGTTCAGTCTTATGTGGTTTTGGTTTTCCCTTAAGTCTTTCACAAAACTCTGCTCTCTGACAGAAAAAAATTGCTTCAAAGCTGATCAGATAAAAGAGGAGTCTGTGATAACCCATGGCTGTTTAATTTCAGCTCTGCGTCAGCCTATTTCGTACATCTGATGGCAGCAGATCCAAAAGACTGTCCTCTACTACAAATCCACTTAGTCTCAGCATGGGACAGTCCCCAATCTCCTGAGGTAGAGACTCCAGACGGTTTCCCTTAATTTCCAGTCGCACTAACTGAGCCAGGTTCGCCACCCTGGAGCTAAGGTATGACAGGCGGTTGTTACCAAGAATCAAAGTCTTCAGCTTTTTACAAGTGAACAGCTCCTCTGGTAATGTCTCTAAGGAGTTAAAGGCAGCGGACAAGACCTGAAGACCCTGAAGGATGCTCACTTCAGGAGGGATTGAGGTGATCAGGTTGTGGGAGATGTCCAGGTGTCGGATTTTGGTACAGTAAAAGAGCCGTGAGGGCAGCTTGAGCAGCTTGTTCCAACTCAGATCCAGCGTCTCCAAGGTGCGCAATTTGCTGATGTGTTCTGGGATGTATGTGATTTTGTTGTGCCACAGTCGAAGAGTCACCAAACGCCTGCAGTGCTGTAAACTCAGGATTTCTTCCACAGTGGTGAGTTTGTTTTCCCTCAGGTCCAGCTCGAGCAAATTGTTTAGGCTGAAGACGGCACTTGGGATGCGCTCCAGGTCACAGCCTATCAACTCTAATGACGACAGGTTAGTCAGCTTCTTCAAGCTACTAAAAGCTTGGAGTTTGACCCCTTCGTTGTTGATGCACAACCGCTCCAATTGTGATGCCAGATCCCCTACACAGGGTGGGATCTTACTCAGATTGGACCGAAGAGTGAGCAGTCTTAAAGCTCTGAGCCCTCTGAGGGATTCCAGAGTGCTACTCCTGGATACCTCATTGGTTAAAGGACCGCTCAAGTGCAACTCTTCCAGCCCATGAAGGGTATACATCCACAGTGGAACCTCCTCTAAACTCTCAAAAGTCAAACGTAGGACTTTTAAACAGTCCTTAAGGTGGTTGAGGGCAGACAGCTGTAGCTTTGCCGAACTGTAGATCAATGATAACTCCTGCAGAGACTCCAGCTTTGCCACACTAGCTGGGATAGTGACATTGTTGACCTGCTCCAGTTTGAGCGACTCCACCTCAGAAATGTCAAAGACTGTGTCAGGAAGTCCCGGCAACATTAAGAGCTGGAGCTCCAACCTGTTGCTGGAGTTCTTACTAATACGGGTGCGTAGCTTTTTCTCCGTCCATTCATAGTTGAGATTGAGTTGATGGAGGCGGCCCTCACTAACTTCAGACAGAAAGAAGGCGAACCTTTTAGAGTAAAGAGCATCATATTGGTCCACAAGGTGCAGAAGGAAGGCAAAATCATTCTTCACGTCCGGTACGTCATTAATACCCATCTCAAATCTAACATGCTCAAAGGAGTACTCCTTCAGAGACCGATGAAATAGCCAGTAGAGGGTGTAAATGCATACAAGTCCGTACACTCCCACAAAACAGATGTAGCAGTAAGAAAGCTTGCTGAAAATATGGGCTTTGTTATGGTTACAGCAATAAACATCAAAACCAGTCAATTCTGGAGGAACATAGCATCGCACAACTATTTCAATTTGTGGTGCCATCACTGCGGTGTAGGTAATGATAAGGAGGAACTTGAAGACTTTAAGGCATGTTTGGAGCACATACATGTGATACAAGATTTCTGCCTCCTCAACATGGGTTCGAAACTTCTTCACCTTTTCGAAAAGGGCTTTCGCTTGCTCTCCCTCCTTCTTGTCCAACACAGAGGGGGTAGGCTGGGGGTCTGGGGTTTTCTTTTCTGGATTAGACTTGACAGAAGAGGAGCGAAGAAGCCCAACAGTGTCCTCCTGATCTCCTTGCTGTTCCGCTGAATTCTTTGACATGGTATTGCTTCTCAGGCTGAATAGCTTTTCTTCTCCTCTTTCCTCAGAGACTTCACTTAAGGCCCTTGTGGTCCAGGGTGAGTCAAAACACTTGCCCAGGATGGTGACAAATAAGTCAATTTTGGAAGATGTTCCGGGGAATTTGAACCAGAAGCTGCTTGCAACCATGAAAATCAGAGTGTGGACCACAACAAGGTATGGGAAGTACTTTGCATACCAGTGCACGGACCTCTCATAACAGTAGTGGTTGACAAATACGTATTGGTGGATGTCAAGGTTGTTCTTGCGACCAAACGCCTCCCGAATGATGGGGTCCAGAGGCTTGGCCATTATGCCTTCTGATGTCTCATTGTTCATGTAGTCACGGACATGGCTACAGTTGATTGCCTCGGGGGTTGGGCTGGTGAGGTGACTAGGCAGGCATGCAATCTTATCTTGGGTGAGCTGTGGAAAATGGAAGAAAGTATTATATTTGAGGTAGGAATGACATGCATTACCAACATGTGACAATGTATTATGATCAAATCACCAACAAGTGCTTTTTTCCCATTTTTAGGCAGTACTGTGCTAATTAAATTGATTTTCAACCTCTGTGTTGCACATTTAGCAGGACTATGTGCAGAGCATTGAAGGGAACATTCTAATTACAGCAATTTCCTTGGTCCTGTACACAAAGCAAAATCAGTTTAGTCACTAACTCTCTCTGAAATTGGTTTTGTATGGTGTCAAAGAAAACAAACTACATTCAAGACATTCATTGGGAGAACAATGTATAAATAAGCATTGCAATGTCAAAAGTTACTTGAATCATTTTTCTGATTTTTTTTCGAGATTATGCTGCTGTTATAAAGTCTGATTCTTATTAGAGCAGAGTGATTATCTGGTATTTCTTTAATAATTGCTAGTTGAGACAGAGTTGTAATGGGCTTATTTTTACTTGCAGTCTTTCACATTCTTGTCAAAGTAACAAAATATTCTATGCAGTATAGTTTTTACAATAACATGGATCTTTGGAGCAGAGTCTTGTTGGCCAGAACATGCAGAATAATCCACGTAGTACTATCTGAGAAGCTTGGTCTTGTACAATTGTGGTTGAAGTTTGACTTTTACACTAGCAAAATCCCCTTTTTGTAGTATCAGATTAACTTTTTAACTTCACCCATCCATCCCTCATCACACATTTGATTTCCACTGATTCAACTGTCGGAGTTGAATCAGTGGCACCCCATATTCAAGTCATCACACAACCACCAAACACCTCCAGACTCAATAGTTAGGCAGTGTGTTTCAGTTACATTAGAGGTTACTCAAATCCCAATGCCTGGTTTATTAACTTAACCACATGCTTTGCTGTTTGTTTGTCACTAAATGACTGCTGGTTATCCTGTAATTTCTGATGTGTTGCTGTGGGACTCGAATTGTGAAGTTGAAATTTGTTTGTGTCTTTGGCAATTGTTTTTAGCTGAAGAGAACAAACAGGAAAGGTACATTTGCATATTTTCTCTGAATTAAGAGCAGATCAAATAGGACATAATTTATTGGTGTTTCTACCTTTTAATGTCCATTTCTCAATTACTCTATAAAAGTCGAATTAATCAAAACACTCAGTTTCTGTCTTTCTTTTTAACTGTTACATCTCATTCTCTTCCCAGAAACCTGAGCCATAACATCAGGTATTTCTAGACTGGGAACAATAATAATCAAACTGACAAAAATTGAAATTATTACTAAGTACAGATTAGTAAATAAGTACAAGACACATGTGTATATCATTTCTCATCTGGAACAGAAATGAAGATAAATTACAGCGACCAACATATTCATAAAATTGACTTTTTTCATGAGACCAAGTTATTGTCTTATTATTCTTTTTCATGATTTTCCCCTTTGTTTGCAACATGAAACATCTTGAAAAACCATTGAGTACTACCATGGTGTAGAATTAGTTGCCATTCTTTTTAAGCGCATGGTTATAAAATCATATTGACTTTAGTCATTTGATGCTGCTAGTGTAGTTTCAGTTTGGTTAAAACTTTGATTTGACTAAAAGTCACACTCACTTGTTTGTAGAATTGGCATTGAATATTCTTTATTCTTGAAAAAAGCATCACCCACTCACTTTTTTCCAGAAAAAGAAAATGTAAAAAATAAGAGGGAGACATACACAGGACAAGGAGCAGGGGACACAGGTACTACAGAGGATGTGGTCAGTGCCAGAAAACCAGGTGGGGAATATTGTAAACACATGGGTAGGTTTTACCCTGTTGTTCTTTTGATATTTTTGATGTTTTTGCCAAGTATTCATCTGTATCAATGTAAGTTAGTCACTGTGCGTTTTGGATTGTGATTGGCAGATGCCTCACCTGCAAGGTGCACCCAAAGACTCCAATCATGAGCATAACAACGCACAGGTACTCCGAGAAAACATCCCACCAGGGTTTGAGCACCCGAAACTGGGAGTTCTGCTCCGTTCCGAAGTGTTTTAATTCGCCCACTGGGATCATCTCGATCGTTTCTGCTGCACTCGGATGACAGAGACGAGTGGCTCCGCACTCTGCTAGGATGGGCTTTCAGCTTCCAGCAACCTCCTGAGGATCAAACAATAGACTGGAATATAATAGACATAAAAGGAAAAACATCAGACAAAAACGGAGCCGATGCACACACGTTACAACACACTTAAGTCGTTTTGGTCGTGAACACAATGAATGAATTCTGCTTCAAGACTGAAAGCGGAAAAACTCGTCAGGCAACAGAAGCAATCCCACGCAGCCCCAGAGCGGTGACTGTCAAATGCGAAACTCCAATGTAAATATAACTAACGTCCTTTGTGCTGTACTAATTCACAGTGAGTAATAACTCATTATATTGAGAACTTTTTGTTGCCCCTGCAACAATTAAACCTGTGATTCCAGAGACAACCGAGCAGAGTTCTTTAAGGACATTAACAGGTATCAGTTTCAATTTAACGTCACCGTTTTCTTTTCGATTAAAAATGACTTTTCATTACGTTATCCTAAAATAGTCCCGCACTCTGTAATTACGAAGTTCTGTGAATATACCTGTTGTCATTTAACCTCACTTTAAACTCTTGAAAGTAGTTCCAGCGCCTTAAAGCGAAGACGGGCGTCGGTCAGGTGAGTCTTACCTGCGTCCGGACAGGATCCACTGGGGTCCGGTGGGGGAGTGGTTGTTCATTACTCGAAGGAGCGCACAGGTGTGAAGGCAACGAGACGTAACGCGAGACTTCCGGACGAGACTTTTCCCAATAAACCCCTTTCCGGGAGTCCTTCCCGGCAAGTCTCGGCGTTAACTTTAAGAATAGTTTGGCCCGAAGCCCACCACCAGGGAATACATTTTGGATGGATAAACATTTGTTTTTGTGTGAGGCTGACAAACACATGACAAATTTCAACCTTAAACTTGGTTTATTGAACACTTAATCTGCCTTTTAGGAAACTCCAGTGATCTTATGAAGCTCGATTGAAACAATGAGAGCCTTTAAGTAAATTAAAGAGACAGATTCATTAATTAAATAAGATGCAGCTTTTCCCCACGTTGACTCAATTTATTGTGCAGTTGCATCGTACGTACAAATAAATCTATTAAATATCTTTCATCAGACATGGCACTGATTTCACAGTTTTACAGCCAGACTGCTTTTTAAAAAATGTATTTTAAAGGTGGCCTCTGTTTGCTGGGATTTTCTTTTAATTCTCTTGTGATTCCACATAATCAGGGGTACTTTCCTTTTTGGCTAATATAATAATGGTTCACCCAGCTGCCAGGAAATGAGATGTGTTAACAGAAATTATGGGTGGTCCTCAAAAGTAAAGTCCATGGTAGGTCTTATTTTTTTGTTTGTTTTTACCATAGCCTATATATCTATGATAAAATCTAAATTGGTAGTAAGGGAATTTTCTTCAACGTGAAAGTGATTTGGCGCCCACCAGTGGTCACTGCTTTCTTGAAAAGTTGCACAACTGTCAATGAACAGTCCTTAAAACTCCTCCTTACCTTTAAATTTCCACTTGGTTCTGATTTCAACCCTTTTATAGTAAAAAGTCATCCTGTTGGAAAAACCTCATGACCACAATTCCAAAGTCTGCCTTTAAGAAACTCTGACCTTATTAGTAAAATATAAAACAGTGAAATCCCAAAAGCTTCACAAAAGCTACAACGCAATAAACTCCAGAGAGAAAATTGAGGCTTGCACGAATGGGAATGTCCCATGGCAAGACATTCCAGGAGAGACTGAGGATTCCAGATAAGTTATATCAAATAGAATGGTGGATTCTTATAGAATACTGTGATATAGCACAGCACAGAGGGTGTAGAATTAATTTTTGATTCAGACTTGGCAGCTGAATTTGATAGTTTGTTGAGCTTCAAAATGGTTGTTTTCTTCGTTTTAAAGAAAGGAAACAGAAAGATGGTTCTATTGATGTATAAATCAGCAGTCACATCAGCAGTGTGGGAGCTCAAAAACTTGATTTTAAGACACACTGATAATAAAGTATTGCCCAGTCTCAGCTGGGTCCAGACCCCCAACAACCCTACTAAGAAAAGAGTGACAGATAGTGGATGGAATGATGAGCTGGGAAGTAGGGTAGAGTGTATAGTCCTGTTATACTCTTGTAGTGTATCCTAAAGATATGTTTTTAAAACATTTTTCACAAAGTTAATATACAAATGTTGATAATGAAAATGTTCCTTTTGTTCTTTTCCCTGCATAAAAGGTAATATAACGTGTGATACGTGTGATATAACCACTTATTTTGTATTCCAAAATGCTGGAACAAGGTTCAGTTTTCAGAATTTATCGTCTTTTTAAGTTATACTTTCATCATAAAAATGCCTTTCTTTAAACAGTCAGCCCAGTCGAAGATAAAGATAAACACTTGTCTTTAAGTGAAGACTCCTACATGGATTTTAGGAAAGGTTACAAACTATCTGAAATGCTTCTAAGCAGCTTGCAGAACACAGGCCCAGAATTCCATGGTCACCATGACTCCTCCTTGGGGACAGGATTGCAGCATCTTTTAAAACATACAATAACACAAGCGGGACCATAGAGCTTTTTAAATGAACATTTTACTCCAGCCGGTTTTAAAGAAATGTCACATCGCTGGTATGAAATAAAAGACTCCCGAGACTGACCAAATCGGAACAACAAACAAAATGGAAAATATCAGGAGTGAGTGATTTTAAATTAATTTCCTCATTATCTGTTTAAATAGCCTTCTGAAGTTCATGATCAGACCAAAAAGGAGCAACTTTCTCAGTTTCATACTTTTAAACATTGGGTTGATTACAGAAAATATCCCAAAAAGTTATATAAATAATGATAATTGATCAACATTTGTTGTTACCATATACAGTATCTTTAATGTCATTCAATTTGAACTTGCTTTAGAAACCTTTACTGCCATAATAATGTTCTGTCAACTCACTTATATTAACATCACTGGTCTGCTGAATCATCATCATCTACTGAACCAGTACAAAATACTTTTAGATTTTTAAACATAAAAGCCAAAACTACTCATTTATTTTGCCCAAACAGGATGAGATCACATTTGATCCTAATGTGTTGTGTTTCAATGCTAAACTAGCCAAAAATATTGTCCATATTTCTCTGGGTGTGACATATTATAGGGAAATACACCTCTGATTTCAGGAAGAAAAATCTATCCTCTTTAGGAGAGTTTTCACACAAATGTTTGAGTGTGTTTTTTTTATTTTTTCAAACATAATCACTGTTGTCAAAAACATGTTTGACCCCTAGCAACTGAGCTATTCCCATGTCCTTCCCTAAATGAAAGTTTTTTTCTTTTCCTCATTAAGAGTTTCTCTTTAATTGGTCTTCAATAATTGTCTTTAAGTTTATACTCCTTCATCATGGAATTTGAGAAAAGTTACTAACTATCTTAAAAGAAATTTAGGGAACACTGTCCCAGAATTCCATGGTCACCATGGCTCCTCCTTAGGGGCAGGATGGCAGCATCTTTTAAAACATACACTGACACAAGCGGACCATGTAGCTTTTTACATTCACATTTCACAACAGCCGGTTTTAAGGATATGTCACATCGCTGGTAGGAAATAAGAGACTCCAAGAGACTGTCCAAATCGGAACAAAAAACGTACAAAATGGCAAATATCAGGTGTGATCGATTTAAATAACTTTACTCCATATTATGTGTTTAACAAGCCTTCTGAAGTTAAACGTTTTTTCATGATCAGACCAGAAAGGAGAGATTTTTTTTGTTTTATACTTTTAAACATTGGCTAATTAAAGAAAATATCCCATAAAGTTATAGAAAACATAATAAATTATCAATACTTATTGTTACCATATATCTTTAAAAAGTCATTCAATTTAAACTTGCTTTAGAAACCTTTTTCTGCTGTAAAAATGTTTTTTGAACTTATTTAGATAAACATCACTAGTCAGCTGAATCATCATGATCTACTGAACCAGTACAAATACTTTTAGTTTTTAATATAGATTTAAATATAAAAGCCAAAATTACTAATTTATTTACCCCTAACAGGATGAGACCAAATTTGATCCTAATGTGTTGTGATTCAATGTTAAACTGGATAAATGGTGTCCATCTTTCTCTGGGTGTGTCAGATTATGGGGAAATACACCTCTTAATTCCAGGAAGAAAAATCTACCCACTTTAGGAGAGTTTTTACACAAATGTTTGAGTGTGTTTTTTTTTATTTTTTCAAACATAATCGATGTTGTCAAAAACATGTTTGACACCTAGCGACCGGCTAAATCCCATGTCCTTCCCTTAATGAGACTTTATTTCTGTTCCTCACTAAGAGTTTCTCTTTGATTTGTCCTCAATAATTGTCTTTAAGTTAAGACTCCTATTAAATTGATTTTAGGAAAGTTACTAACTATCTGAAATGGTTAGAAGAAGCTGGCAGAACACAGGCCCAGAATTCCATGGTCACCATGGTTTCTCCTTAGGGGCAGGATGGCAGCATCTTTTAAAACAAACCATAACACAAGCGGACCATAGAGCTTTTTACATTTACTTTTCACTTCAGACGGTTTTTAAGGATATGTCACATCGCTGGTAGGAAATAAAAGACTCCCAGAGACTGAGCAAATCGGAACAACAAACTTACAAAATGGAAAATATCAGGTGTGAGCAATTTAAATAACTTTACTCCATATTACGTGTTTAACAAGCCTTCTGAAGTTCAAAGTTTACTCATGATCAGACCAGAAAGGAGAGATTTTTTCTCAGTTTTATACGTTTAAACAATTGGTTATTAAAGAAAATAGACAACGAAGTTCTAGAAATAATGATAATTGATCAATATTTGTTGTTATCATGTATCATTGATATATCATTTAATTTAAAGTTGCTTTAGAAACCTTTTGCTGCCCTAGAATGTGCTGTCAACTCACTTAGACAAACATCACTGGTCTGCTAAATCACCATTGTCTACTGAACCAGTACAAATACTTTTAGATTTTTAAATATAAAAGCCCAAACTACTCATTTATTTTACCAAAACAGGATGAGACCAAATTTGATCCTAATGTGTTGTGTTTCCATGCTAAACTGGCCAAAATGGTTTCCATCTTTCTCTGGGTGTGACAGATTATAGGGAAATACATCCCTAATTACACAAAGCAAAATCTATCCTCTTTAGGAGAGGTTTTACACAAATGTTTGACAGTGTTTTTAAATTTTTTCAAACATAATCACTGTTGTCAAAAACATGTTTGAAACCTAGCGACCGGCTAAATCCCATGTCCTTCCCTTGATGAGAGTTAATTTGTTTTCCTCACTAAGAGTTGCTCTTTGATTGATCCTCAATAATTGTCTTTAAATTAAGACTCCTATTAAATTGATTTTAGGAATAGTTACTAACTATCTGAAATGGTTCAAAGAAGCTTGGGGAACACAAGCCCAGAATTCCATGGTCACCATGGCTCCTCCTTAGGGGCAGGATGGCAGCATCTTTTAAAACAAACCATAACACAAGCGGACCATATTGCTTTTTCCATTCACATTTAGCTACAGCCGGTTTTTAAGGATAAGTCACATCGCTGGTAGGAAATAAGAGACTCCCAGAGACTGACCAAATGGGAACAACAAACTTACAAATCGGAAAATATCAGGTGTGAGTTATTTAAATACATTTTCTCCTTATTACGTTTTTTTACTAGACTTGTAAAGTTCAAAGTTTTCTCATGATTATACCAGAAAAGAGATATTTTCTCAGTTTCATACTTTTAAACATTGAGTTAGTTAAATAAAATATTCAAAGGAGAGGAAGAAGTAATGATAATTGATCAATATCATATATCTTTGATAACGGATTTAATTTAAACTTTTTCTGCCATAAAAATGTTTTGTAAACCAATTAGATAAACATCACTGGACTGCTAAATCATCATCATCTACTGAACCACTACAAATAGTTTTTGGTTCATAAATATAAAATTCAAAACTACTCATTTATTTTGCCAAATAGGATGAGACCAAATTTTATCCTAATGTGTTGTGTTTCCATGCTAACCTGGCCAAAATGGTCTCCATCTTTCACTGGGTGTGACAGATTATAGGGAAATACACCTATAATTTCCGGAAGCAAAATCTATCCTCTATAGGAGAGTTTTTACATAAATGTTTGAGGGTGTTTTTTAAAATTTTTTTGGAACATAATCACTGTTGTCAAAAACATGTTTGACACCTAGCAACTGGCTAAATCCCATGTCCTTCCCTTGATGAGAGTTTATTTATTTTCCTCCTATCTAATAGTTGCTCTGTTCTTGGTCCTCAATAATTGTCTTTAAATTAAGACTCCTACTATATGGATTTTAGGAAAAGTTACTATCTGAAATGGTTCTAAGAAGCTTGCAGAGCACAGGCCCAGAATTCCATGGTCACCATGGCTCCTCCTTAGGGGCAGGATGGGAGCATCTTTTAAAACAAACAACAACACAAGCGGACCTTATGGATCTTTACATTCACATTTAACTTCAGCCAGTTTTTAAGGATATGTAACATCTTTGGTAGGAAATAAAAGATTCCCAGAGACTGACCAATTGGGAACAAAAAACTTACAAAATGGAAAATATCAGGTGTGAGCGATTTAAATAACTTTACTACATATTATGTGTTTAACAAGCCTTCTGGAGTTCACAGTTCTCTCATGATTTGACCAGAAAGGAGAGATTTTCTCAGTTTCATACTTTTAAACATTGGATTTATCAAAGTAAATATCCAAAAAAGGGGAAGAAATAATGATAATTGATCAATATTTCTTATTATCGTGTATCTTTGATATATCATTGAATTTAAACTTGCTTTATAAACCTTTTTCCGCCCTAGATATGTGCATTCAACCCAATTAGATAAGCACCACTGCTCTGCCGAATCCTCATCATCTACTGAACCAGTACAAATACTTGTAAAAGCCAAAACTACTCATTTATTTTGGCCAAACAGGATGAGACCAAATTTGATCGGAATGTGTTGTGTTTCCATGCTAACCTGGCCAAAATGGTCTCCATATTTCTCTGAGTTTGATAGATTATAGGGAAATACACCTCTAATTTCAGGAAGCAAAATCTATCCTCTTTACAAAAATGTTTGAGTGTTTTTTTTTTATTTTTTCAAACATAATCACTGTTGTCAAAAACATGTTTGACACCTAGCAACCGGCAAAATCCCATGTCCTTCCCTCGATGAGAGTTTATTTCTGTTCCTCACTAATAGTTGCTCTGTACTTGGTCTTCAATAATTGTCTTTAAGTTAAGTCTCCTACTACATTGAATTTAGGCAAAGTTACTAACTATCTGAAATGGTTCTAAGAAGCTTGTGGAACACAGTCCCAGAATTCCATGGTCACCATGGCTCCTCCTTAGGGGCAGGATGGCAGCATCTTTTAAAACATACAATAACACAAGCGGACCATGTAGCTTTTTACATTCACATTTCACATTTTTAAGGATATGTCACATCGCTGGTAGGAAATGAAAGACTCCCAGAGACTGACCAAATGGGAACAACAAACTTACAAAATGGAAAATATCAATTGTGATTTATTTAAATAACTTTACTCCATATTATGTTTAGCAAGCCTACTGAAGTTGAAAGTTCTCTCATGATCAGACCAGAAAGGAGAGATTTTCCCAGTTTCATACTTTTAAACATTGGATTAATCAAAGACAATCTCCCAAAAGTTCTAGAAATAATGATAATTGATCAATATTTGTTGTTATCATGTATCTTTTATATATCATTTAATCACAACTTGCTTTAGAAACCTTTTTCTGCCATAAAAATTTTCTGTCAACCCTGTAATATAAACATCACTGTCTACTAAATCATCATCATCTACTGAACGAGTACAAATACTTTTAGATTTTAAAATATAAAAGCCCAAACTACCTATTTTTCCCAAACAAGATGAGAGCAAATTTGATCCTAATGTGTTGTGTTGATCACAAAGGAGTTCACTTTAGGAACGAAAGCCTCTTTTGCAGCTTAGGTTCAAGTAGACGGGAGCCGTGCCCTTAATCACTTTGTAGGATAGAATCAGGGACTTGAATTTGATACGGGCAGCCAGGGGTAACCAGTTGAGTTCAATGAACAGAGGGGTGAGGTGGGACTTTTTGGGCCGGTTGAAGACCAAACGGGCCGCTGCGTTCTGGATCCTTTGTAACGGTTTTACCGTACAGGCTGAAGAGACCAGTCAGGAGTGCGTTGCAATAGTCAAGGCGGGAGATAACCATCGACTGCACCAGGAGCTGGAAAGCATGTTGAGTTAAGTATGGCCGGATCATTCTTATGTTTAGTAGTTTATCTCAAACTGCTTTTGAGGAAGAGGTTTTCTGATGGAGATCCCATAAGAATATTCTAAATACTGAATATTTTAAGTGTTATCCATATATGACTGCACATGTCATGTAACTAAAACTGACGTTCTTTTTTTTTTTTTTTTAAAGTTAAGCTGTTAAAAAATCTCAAAATGGTTCTACTTGACTAATCTTTTGTCGACAGGTGAAAGTAGACAGCTGGTAGGGGGGAAAATATGACAGGAAGACTGGAGCAGTACAAGAAACATATTTATAGGATTTTCTTTTGCTGAGAAAAAAAGAAAATATACAAAGCAGGGCTTAAATATTCTAATTTCCATTTCGATTATTGACTGGAGAAAAGAGAAAAGTCTCTTTTAAAAGCATCTTTTTTCCAATACCAATCATCCAAAGTTAGCATTAACAGGCATTTCCACTTAGTTCCGTTGCATGCTGGTTATTCAAAAACACTACAACAGTCAGATGGAAAACAAAGTTCATGTCAGTTTAAAGCAACGAGAAAAAAAAATAAAAAAATGAACTCCAGAATTCTGTACAAGACTTCTTAGGTTACCAATGTACAAAACATCTTTTTAAAAACTTCTGTAGCTTAAACTACTGTTACAAATACATTTAAGCAAGAGTGCCATTAGTATACAGTATTTGAACACTAACGCACGAACGTGGTCACTTCTGTATCTGAGGTCTCTTAGATATGAAAACCCCCCCAAAAAACTAAAATGATATAAAATACATCAACAGCTGGTGGGGCCGTTTTGTCTTCTGTTAGTGTCCTTAAAAAAAAAAAACAACACAGAACAAAACAAAAAAGTCAGAAGTCTGAATCCAGGTTTTTTCAAAAGCTACAGTATAATTAAACAGAAAAAAAACTAATTTCTTCATTTCAACTAACACCCAGATTCTCAGGGAGTTTACTTTTTCCAAAAATGTCACATTTAAAAAAAAAACTTTAAAGTAAATACTAGTGAAAAGGTGCGCTTGTGGTTTGTTTAACTTCCTGCATCTATTGTACCGACACGATGGGCTTCATGCAAGAACTACACAGATTTGCTCTTACAGTAACAATTAGACGTAGCTACTTTACAACTTCGGCTGGAAATGTTTGAGGTTAGTGACGCCAATAAAAACACAGGGTTATCATCATTTTCCCACTTGTTTTTTCTTTTGAGAATCAAATTACAAAGAAGCGTACTATCGCCGTCAGTTGCTAATTCAAACCAAAACATTTTAGCCATCGTGTCGCTGGAATGTACGGTGGGACTGCTGGTTTTAGCGGGGAGCGTTCAGTGGACCAACAGCTGAGTGGCAGATTCCTCAGAGAGCCAACCCTGTGTTATGGTCATGTACTGAGGGAAGCTTCTTTTGGATTATAAAAAAAACCCCAAACACTAACTCGCAAAAGTAAGCTAAAGGTTTGAAATAAAAAAGTTCTTTCATGAAGCCCATTGTCCAACAGAAGGTTCTTCCTGTGACCATCTGATTTCTAATCTGTAACATATAGACCCCGTGATAACATACTGATAACAATAATGCCCACAGAGGCACTATAATGGCACTTTGAAATCTGTACAGACAAATGCTACTTTTGTTGCCATCATTTCAGAATTCTTACCCGGAGGAAGTTCACATGAAAAAAAAAAAGACACCCTGATGACTCTTTGAGCCAGTAGAAGGATTTCCTTAGTTTGCAGCTCTTTCCTGATAAAAGACGGTCTGAGGGCTTTTGAAACGCCCCACCACTTACAAATGATTTGGACGTCATGTTTGAGATCTGAATTGTCTGGGGGAAGGGCTCGTATTAAACATTGGATAGAGTTCTTGTCACCTCATGATAGAATATCAGTGGTGGTCGGAGAAAACAACACTACTGGTGCTGGAACTTAGCGTCTAGAGTGGGTGAGGCAGGATGTGGCGTCCCCCGCTCGAGTCTGTCCTCCTTTGGACAGAGCTGAGTTTTGGAGTGAGACTGGACTTCATGTGCCTTTGTCAAAGGGTCCGTTGTGGTGCAAACCTGAGCTGGCGGCCTGACCAGACGGTGAAGCCGCTGCCCTCTCCCTCTCAGGCTTCTGGACCTGCGGCAGGTCCTTTTGGCAGGGCTCCATGGTAACGGCCACGCCCACGCCGCTCCGCCCCGAAGTCATGTGCGTCACCTCGGACCACGTGTCCTTCTCGGGGTCGTAGCACTCCACGCTGTCCAGGAAAGTATTACCGTCATAACCCCCTGTAAAACATAAGGTTTAGCTTTTATTCGGTTAAGGAGACACTTTGAATACAGTCCACGAAGGACTACATGACCTCGGTGTGAAACCACACAAAAGGCCAATTCAGTACATGCTTTGGGGTACTTTTTTACCAGAATACAAATAATCCTGATGATATATAGAAATGCCAAGAAGCAGAGTTGCTGGATAACATGACATGAGCAAGAAAATGGAAAATATTTCAATAAAATTGTGAAATTCTCATAAAAACAAACCAAAAAATATATAAAAAGAAATCAGAATAGAATTGAAGATGTGTTTTTTTACCAGTTCTTACAGCGTTTTTCATAATAAGCCATGTATAACATGGCGTTATCAGTCCCTCACAGTGTTTTTCCGTGGAAGATTTTGGTATGTTCATGAAATTTTGCAGCTACTCATTAACAGACAGCTCTCTCAAGCTTTCACCACAGCAGGTCCGTCCAAGTCTGGACTCTGTGAGGGTCAGGCAGCAATATTTACCTTTTATAACATTAAAGTACAGTAAAACCTCTACATACAAATTTAATTTGTTCCGGGACCTACTTCGTAATCCGTGTATTGGTTCAAATATTCCCATAAGAATACACTGTAACTCCACAGCCCAAAAACCTACGATAACTCCTTAATAAATACTGCAGATAATTACACAGGCATAAAACAAATGCATTATATAAGAGAGATGTAAAAAGAAACAAATTATAAATAAATAATCAAAAGTTTTTTGTTTTTTTTTACTGGCACTTATTGGCAACAGAGGTGTAGGCTTGGTCAGTGTGGAGTTAGAGGTGGTGACAGATACAGTACGTACTATAACTTATTCCAACTTTCACTACGTGAACTTTAAACTAACTTAGCTCATCTATTTTTATATTTTACATATTGTTTTCTATGACTTTGATGTACGGTGGAAATTTACTTTGGGTGTCGAGTCGAATATTTGATCACTTCGGATGTTGGAAAATTCGTATGTTTGGGCAATCGTAAGTGAATGTTCCACTGTATTAGCAATCAGGTGGTTTGTGTGACTGTAGTCAGTCTTAATGTGGATGTATGCTGATTTAACAAGCAGCTGGCAGTAATTCATCACTACCACCTCAAGATAGAGGTGCTGCGTCTCCCTAAAAACAACAGAAGAGCCCTTCAGCTCTGTAGCCTCCAGGTAAATACAAGTGACATCATGAGCAAAGCTATTTTTTGTGGCTCAAGATGACAAAGAAGAAAAGCTGAAGACTGAAGGGGGAAAAAAGAAAGAACAAAAGATAAACTCTGTAGCTGTCAAAAACTTGACATGGCCACTACACTCACTTCAGTCAAATATATATATATCTTAGAAAACACAGATGCAGAAACCAAATGGAAAATGTTTAAAACACTGCTTTTGCAAGTCCAATTTGCTAGATTAGGCCCAAGTGCAAATAAGTTAAACTGTAGCTACTCTGATGAAATTCAGCTGCATGTGCTTTCGGTGAACGCTGGATTAGCCGTTATGCCCAGATATCTGTAGTTTTCCTTAAACTGATCTCCAGTCCTGTGGCTACTCACCCAACACATAGATGCGACCGTGTAGGGCGGTGACTCCCAAAGCGCTGCGCCTGTGCCTCATGGAGGCAGCGAAGCTCCACGTGTCGGTTTCCACATCGTAGCGCTCAACTGTGTTCAACTGGTTGGTGCCGTCGTATCCACCCATCACAAAGATCTGATTGCCCAGGGAGCACACACCTGCAACAGCATGCTCGGTTATTCAAACATCTAGAGAATCTATTAGAATCCAGAAACTGTTTCATAGCTAAAAATTCTCCATATAACTAAAAAGAAATAAGGATTCATACAAGTACGTGGAGAGACTAACATAATAAAGGGAAGTAAACATTGTAGCAAGCTATCTATTCTACAAATGGAGAAATTAGAATACATTTTTTTTGTTTTGTTTTCCAGATCAGAGTAAAACAATGGTTTATCGTCTAAGACTGGACGTGGAAGCACTATATGAAAACAGTCAGCTTTCTGTGCAGGGGTTTTCCCGTTTATTTCTTACCAGCTCCAGACCGCACGGTATTCATGGAGGCCATGGTCCTCCACTCATCCCTCTCAGGGTTGTAGCTTTCGCAGGAGCTGAGCCGGTTGGAGCCATCGAACCCCCCCACAGCATAGAGAAGTCGGTTGATGACGGCGACGCCCACACCGATACGCCGCGTTAACATTGGAGCCACCAGCTGCCACTGGTCCTTCTCTGGATCATACCTGCAGACGTAAAAACAAAGAAATGTCTTTTCATCACTTTGTACATGCGTTGTATCACTCTGTAACTACACCTCATGTTCACACATGACCGGTTCAAATAAGCATGTAATGATTTAAGAAAAAAACAACAACCCGGAAGTGCCAATCAAATCGGGCATTACCTATTTGTCTCAATGTGCTAACATTTAGAAAATTGATAAATGCCGTTTTCTTCCTCATTTCTTGGCTTTATTTCCCTGTTTTCTTTCCCGCACATGAGACAAGTTCCTGCTGGTTTCTTAGTCCTGCTTTCAAACACAACCAGATCAAGTAAATGATGTAACCGAGCACAGATTCATTTCTCAGTATCTGTTTACAGTTCTGCTTTAGGAGGTCAGATGTTGACATCACCATGTCACCATTCAGAAGCTTGGATATTCCCCAATTACACCGAGAATGAGGTTTGGCAGGTCAATGCCTTAATTTTAGACATAGGCTGAATCATGGCCAGAGTTTAGGTACAATTTTAGCCTAGAATGGAGATGGATATAAAATATCTGTACCAAAGGGTGGGTCTGTCAGTGGCTGAGTAATGTATACACTCAACAACCAACTTTAGACATATATCATACGACACGTAAGCTGGCATAACATTCATTGTGGCTGAAAAAAACACAGTCAGGCTATTTTAAAAGGTGAGACCTAGACACTGAGTAAATGAAGGTAATAATTACCAAAAGGCTTTGAGTAATTTCTCCTCAAGAGGAATATAATACTCAGAATCTGGTGATGTAACATTAGAAAAAGGTAACCTTACTGGAATTTTGCCTTTTTTTCTGGCCAGCTGTAAATTGTTAACTAAGGCATATCCTTGTAGATAAAAATAACAAAAACAAACTATTAATAATTGCAGAAAGCAAAAGATTTCCAGGAAGTTACCCGATAGTTTTTCTCGTTATACACACTGATCTAAGACAGTGTCAACGGGTCAAAACTTAAGTCTCTTCCATAAATATAGTCCAGATTGAGGCACACCACAGAAACAGCAACACAAGGATGTTTTTTCTTATCTTTTTTTGAGATCAGTAAGTTTTCAGTCAAAATAGTTTACCTCTACCTTTTTAAGTCTAACTGTGCGCACTGACAATATTTAAGAAATACTATAAACTGCTCATGCCACTTACCTTTCCACGCTGTTATGATGAATACACCCATGTGAACCACCGACGGCGTATATCATGCCATCGATGACACCGACCCCGATTCGGTTCCTGGGTACGCTCATCGGTGCGCACGGAAGCCAGCAATTGTTCATGGGATTATAGCAGTCCAGAGCGTTCGAGTCCATGTTGCCATCCGGCGCGTTGTTCCTGCCACCGACGGCATAGAAAAGCCCGCTGATCACACAGGCGGCCAGGCCACTGCGGGGCACCTGCAGGTCGGCCAGCCTCAGCCAGGATCCACTGCATGGATTGTAGGCCTCCAGGTAGCTGAGGGACTGCCGGAAGTACCCCCCGGCAGTGTAGATGAGCTGTGGCACCTTGGGAGTTCTGCAAGATATGACTTTGGTGGGTTTGTGGAGGGTGAGGTCCTGGAAGATTTGGGCCAGGTAGTCTTTACACTGCGGGTCCCAGTCCAACGACTGGAGCTGGGCCTGCAGGAAGTTGGGGGTGAGGGAATGGCAGCGGACGGCCTGGAGTAAGGCTTGGACGTATGGACGCCGGTTCTCTCGGTCGTAGCGCACCCAGGCCACGCAGGCCTGGAAGACCTCAGATTCGCAACGTACGTTGAGCTCGTCGCGGCTGATGAGGTTGACCAGCTGGCAGTGGGACAGGTTGAAGAACTCTTCTTGGGTTGCTACCTGGAATCAGAGATTCAGTGAGCATCTAAGGCTTAAATTGTTTCTAAATAAATGTGGTGGTTTATTTCTTAATTATTCAACTTCAGTTCCTAAAATCACAATTTCTCAGAGTTAATTGAATTCAAAAAGCTTGTTTTGTCTAAACTAAAAACAAGTATGTTCCGTTTCACGTCACATAAGCTAAAGAACATATTTTGATTTCCACAAAAAACAAACATTGGTCAAACCAAATTCATATCTACCTCTTCCAAAATAAATCCAAAACTGTTTAGTGCATGGTTTAAAAAAAGTACCTCTTGGCATAGATGCCATCTTTGTTTAAACTTGATATAAAGATTAATATAAAAATGCAGTTTGTTTTGACTAACACGTAGACAAAATATCCAGGAAATGTGGCCGCCTGACTCGTAATCAATCACTGTAGAGGTTTTTTTTACTTAATATTGTAACAAAAAATTAAAATATAAAACATTCAACAAGAGTGTGGAACACTGACTGATGGATGCATTCAAACAACATTAAAATGGGCCTTTTTCCTTCTATTAGTCTGCACTGTGCAGTAGGTTTGCAGCTCAGTATGGTCCAACCACTGATAGACCACCGCATTACTACTGATTACTCATAGTGTACATTGTCATGGTACATGAGCCTGAGGCAGAAAAGTCATCCAACAAAAACCATAATGGAAGGAAGTGAAACAGCTTTTACTAAGAATGAACTTAACGCACAAGTCTCTTGGTTCAGAATGAATAACGAAGCTCAGTCTTTGATTTAATTTATACAGAGGCATCTACATTTATAGTGTATGTAAGCCGTTTTTTTTTTTATTACAGACAATGGTCGCTGTCATTCTAAAGCAATAATCAGCTTTGCCTTACCTGGCTGAAGTTCATATAGATGTATTCTCTAGCTTTCTGGTGGAGTTCTGTGCAGCCGATCTGCTCAGCAAAGCTGGCAATGCCAATGGCGTTGCTGGGGTCCAGCTGTTGGACGAGGAAATCACAGCAGGCCTTGACCACGCTGTCTATCTGGTACATGACGGCGCCATTCATGACATGGATGACACACTTCTCACCCACAGAGATGCTGGCTGTGTAGGCAAACTCTATCAATCTGTCCATGACCTGAGTTTTAAACAAGAATGACACATGGGAGAGAGCAGACAGATCAGCATCTGATAAGCCGACAAGTCAGACGTGCATCAAACCGAGCTTGTTTGTATCAAACCAAAATGAATCTTTCTTTTTAAAAACTCATTAAAATATCACATTTACCATTAAAAACAAAATGGCCAAGTTTATGTTAGAGTTAATCATGGAAGGCATATCTGACTCACCCTGGGGTGAATTCCTTCTATGGGAACCAGCTCCATCCCGCACTCCTTCAGGCCGTTGGTGAACATGGCACGGAAGACGGGGGACGAGGAGGCCAACACCACCTTGTGAGCCACAAAGTCCACCGCCTCCAGGTCCTTGTAGCGCACGCGCAGCGTGACGTCGCACAGCTGCCGCTCCAGGCGCAGCTCGTTCATGATGGCGAAGGCGGCCGATGTGTGGCTCTTCAGCGTGTAGCTGAAGACGCGGTGACCGTTGCGCGTGGACGGAGTCACCAGCGCCTTGCATTCTGTCAAGCACTCGGACATTTCCTGTCCTCCCGTTCTCCTCTTCGGCCTCCTTCTCAACAACAGCTGGCAGTTTTATAGGGCATCTCTGCGCCGCATGCAGGCATGGAGAATTGAAAAAAAAAAAGAAAGTACTTGGGTATTTGGCAGGTGGGTTGACACACGGCTCCCAGCTCTGCCTGATCTCTGTGTTCAGTACTCAGAGTCCAGTGGCACTGCTCATTATGGCATCACAACAAACTCAAATGGGCGATGCCTCCTGCAGCTTGGGGTGCTGTTCCACCTCGCTTTTCCAACATGATGAAAATGAAGTAGAGAACTCCTTGGGATTAATCAAATAGTTAACTTTATAGACAGGTTAATAATGTTTAATCACAAATGGCATAAGACTCCAAGGAATCTTTTAGTCAGCTGTTTGTCTTGGCTGGGGAACTGGTTCTCTTTCCAGTCTTCAGCGTTGGTGATAGAAACACCGAACTCATTCCTGAAGGTTGAGGGGGGGGGTTGGTAATGGAATCTTCTTTCTCTTTATTACTGAAAATGTTTTTCCACCAACTTTACTCAGACGTCCTCAATGATGGATCCATAAATCCCTGCTCCCCCGAAAAAAAGCAAAAAAAACGCACAAAAAAATTAAAGCTGATAAACGTATTTCAGCTTGAGACCTGATTTAATGCTTGCTGCTTTGTTATAAAAAAAGGCAATTATGTTGTAGAATAATTAAGTCTGGCTTAAGAGAACAGTTCGTATGGAAATTGCAGAGTCACATGCTGAAAATAAGGCAGCCAAGAGCTTGTTGACCCTGACGGGCAAGAGAAGACTCAAGTGCCAGAAGTGTCACAAGTGTCAATCGGAGCACTTTGGAATGGCGAGGGGAGGACGGTTGATGAATGTCTTCTCTGGGAACGGCTTTCTTGATGCACTGTGCTGGAATACGTTCTTACCACTGTGTATACATCCATGCAGTCGCTTTAACTGACAGCTGGGGAAAAGAAGGGAAGAAAAAGTTTGTATGAGTATTTAAAGATATCCGCCTTTAATGTAAAAATGCTGACAGTTTTACGCAACCAATGACTCAGCACAAACCAGTCTCTATAAACAGATAACAGTTTTCTGATGCAGGGGAACCAACTGGCATCATGCCCAATGTCCACTGATCTATAACCACTCCACACTTCCTCCACACTTAACTACATTTTAACTGTACACACCGTCGCTAGTAAACACCAACAGGCAGTAATATTACATTTTCTAAACTGGCAAGTCATTCCAAAGACGTGAATAACAGAGGGTGTTTTACTCTTTGCCTTGGCCAATCTAGCTGAGACAGGAACATAGAGAGTGCTTTACGCAACACCCGGCAGAATACAATGTTCAATTCTTTGGGTTCTGCTTACTGATCTACCTCAGGACAGATGTGTGCCAACAGTGCTGAAGCCATTTCACGTTTCACCTCAGAGGAACCACCGATGAACCACTGATGTAATAGAATAAAGCAGAATTTGTCAGTTTGACAGGCTGTGCTCAGTCAGACCAGGTTGGAAGAGTTAAAAGGATGAGCCATGTCGAAAGCAGAATGCTGCGGGAAGAACTCTGAACATTGTCTATTTCAAACTCGGTCTGAGATTTTGTACTTTAAGCTATACTATAGCAGAAGACAGAAATACAACAAACAATCCACAAAAAAAATCTGACATGGCAGAGATGCTCACAGGGGATAATTAAAAGCTAACCAAGTGGGTGCAGCTAAAGTGAGCATTTCGCTTTGCTGCCACCCAAACTTCTGCTTCTCAGAACGTGAACTGCCTGTGACAGCCACAAAGTACAAAGAACAGATCGCAACTGACTGTCTGCTGATCTGTGAATAAGAACAGTCAGAGTTACTCAGCAACAACGTTGCTGTGAGTGTACACTTATATAACACAGAGCCTATACATCGTGTATACACACACACTCTAGGAGGACATAGTGAGTAGATTGACCTATATGGCTTGTTTGCTTAATAATGGCAATGCTAAATCAGTTATCCTAAAACATTTTTTTTAAAAAGATAATAAAAACTCGCTCAAAAAAAGCAGCAATTAAATGGTCATTAGTGAAAAGCTGTCACAATGCTCATCAGTGTAAGACTGACTTTAATAAGGAACATTGTGATTCAGATTTATTGGTGTGCTTTCGTCAATTGAGGCTTCAGAGTAACATAGTTTCACAGCTGAACATATTGCTCAACTCGCTCAAACTCCAGAGTGGACAAACAGGCTGCTCAAGTATCAGTCTTGAGTTCTGTATCTGCAACAAATCTCTGATATTCCATCAATATTTTAGCACCGTCTAAATTTGGGGTGGGTTGTGACTAATGTAAATAATTTGATGAAAACTTAGCAAAGACACAGATGTATTTGCTCCTGAAAAAGACCTCAGAAAGGCAAACAGTATGTTAATCAATAAACAGGAAATCTTAAATTTGTGACGACTTCTGGTTAAACCCTTACACAAGATTACAAACACTTATTTTTTCAACATCCAAAAAGGGATTGTTTGATGGAATTTTAACCCTACATTTTTAAAGGTTATGGTAGTTTGATTTATAATCTTACATGGGTATTGCAACATTCATTCTATAAACCTATCAGGACAGTTCTCTGGTGTCAGGGTAACCAGCAACATCTGACCACAATTCCCGGTTAAGGCAGAATTGATGACATCATCATCGGCGGTCGAAACCATACATCCTAATCCGTGCTGGTTATAAAACAAAAATTAACTTCTGTGCTGGCTCTGAAAACTCCAAAAAGATCCTGCTACTCAGTTTTGGAGCCGCCCTTCAAGGCCTGCAATACTTAGAGCTGCAACAACTGGACGCAACTGAGTAAAATAACTAGGTGACCTACACTTCCAGCTAAGGTTCTCACCGATTTTTTTTTTTTTTTTTTTACTACAAAGCAGTTCCGCCGCGGACGAGCCAAGGGTGAAACAAACAACCCAGCGCTGCCTTACGAATTCCATTGGCATTTTTTAAGGCAAGCAGCTTGTCTCATAGTAAACTCCGGCAAACCGTGGAACTGGATGTACCAAAACACGACGCAGAGAGCGGAGCCACTTCTTACATAAGCCGAGATGGAATTAGATTTCCGCGCCATCTATCTACCTGACATAAACAGCTCGCGCACAAAGCGCCGTCACTCTCTTTCGCTTCGGTAAAACTATAAGGTCACCGTTTTCCGTGCTCAATTTTCGTCCGCAAATATCACTTGAAGCTGGCGTGCGAAAACGGCGAAAAAAGACGCGGGTCTACGACGGAGGTAAACTCTGTGGTCCCGCGAAGAAAGACGCCACAAATGACAAATTAAACGTTTCGGAAATGGAACTGACAGCAAAATAGACTCCTATTAATAGACAGCAGAGTAACGGCTGCGAGCCGATACCCGCACCAACATGCTAACAAATCCGTCTTTAAACGTAGTCCCAGTGGCAAACCACCCTCCGCGCTACGAAATGTGCCCACAGAAGTTGTATTACTCGTCGCCTTTCATGCTTTAATATATCATTAAGGAAACTCACATTGTCTAGCTCAATTCCTCCATCACGGTCTGCCGAGCGGTGAGACACATATGAAGGAGGGGGTGGGGGGTGATGGGGGTGGAAGCGGTAACTCACCGTGACTAAGCATTGTACAGGCCTCCCCTTGCCTTCATAACAAGAGTCTGCCTCCGAGAGAATAAACCCGCCTGCGTTATGCGTGATGGTGGAAAACTACGCCAGGAGAACGCAGGCTTTTATTGTGAAGGATTTCTCAGCGTGAAGGAAAAGCAAGTACAAAACGTTAGCACAGTGCCAGTATTGCGGCTTACTGTCAATGGTTGTAATGATATTGATAAAAACGCGCGTGAAGATTAAGATAAGATTTATTGACTTAAAAGGACTAGGACATTTTATCAAATTCCCCCAAAGGAAAAAACGGATACATCTCACAACAAAAAGAGAAACACAAACAAACAAAAATGAAATAATAATAAAATCATGATAAATGTTGATATGTTGATTTCAGGATAAGAAATTGGCAAATGCATTTGAATTAAAAAGCTGGTAAAAATGTTGCTAAAGGAAAACAATATAAGGATTAGGTTATCACCTAATTGCTTTCTCATGTAATTGAATCAGTTTTCCTGTGAAGCATCCTTCTTTTAAAAAAAACAGAATTTGTGAATGGCTCCAGCATCGAGCAGCAGCTTGAAAGTGGTCTTCCTGTCCCCCAGCCAGGTGCTGACACACCAGTTTTCTTTTCACCGGCTTGCAAAATATGTAATCCAGGTCAATGGGTAGTCTCTGATGCAGGCTGTGTTCTTGTGTTCAGTCACAGGGTGGCACCAAAAGCCTACCATCAGACAATGAGGCAGGCTGAGTGTTTCCACTTGACCAGCGTTTAAAAAAACACTCATCTGTTGCTTTGCCATCACTACTGTCATGTTCCAGAACAGAACAGTGTTTATCTGCACATCTGTCTCGGGTGATCACAACAGATAAATTATAACTAATACTTGCTCCATTTGTCCACAGCAAAAAGAAAGGTCTGGCTAACCTTTGTCAGCAGGAGTATTGCTGTATTGCTGCAGTGGCCTTTTGGAGTAAAATCTGCATCCCTACAAATCATATAAAATCAAATGTATTCCAATTAAATTTTATTAGTTGTATGTTGAGAAATGTGTATTTGAATCTTTGAGCGTCACATCAACAAACTGCTTAAGAAAGTCAGCTGTTACCAACGGATTTACTCCTGCCATAAACTAATCGCCATGTATACACTAAAGTATATGTTAAAATTGTGGAGTGGCTTATAGTTCTACCCCTATGATAGTGAGTATCTTTTTCACACCTAAGTCAATATGAAGAACTGGTTTGAGATTATTTCTTTTGCAAGGATGTCTTCGTGTTAACAAACTTGCAATATTTGTCTTTATTCATTTTACAAGTAACAGTAGTGCTCAGTCTAACTTCTAAACTTCAAATCTAAATTCTGATTTTATCTGAGTTTAGGCTTTTCTAACTGAATATTTCAGTTTAATCTTGTTTTTGTTTGATTTTTCACCCCTAAATTGATAAATTGAAATTACACAAATGGTGAGTTCTGTTAATCGCAACCTACATATAGTGAAATATTTATTAAACACAAACTTGGATGTAAATGTGCATGGGTGTAAAAACTTGCCTTAAATTTACAGACTGTGCTGATGTTCAGTCTACAGAGAGTTTATCTCCCAGAGAAGGAGATTAAGTCCAGCTGCATATGATTTGTCTCAGTTTCAGCTATGACAAAGGTGGACAGCACATCAACATCAGGTGATAGTCCGTCTTAACTACAGGTCAAGAGAATGCATAAAAAATATGGAGTGCTCAGTGTTTGAAAAGAGCTGTATTGTATGGTGCTTGAGCCAATCTGAGACAAGCAGAACTTGATGTATGTAGGCCAATGCCATTACCAGATGTGAAACAAGGGGGCTGACTTCCTGTAGTACTTCTTTATAAAAACTCAAGAACACGAGAAAAAAAAAAAAACTCTCACTCACACCCATGTACTGTATGAATGCTATGACAAAAGAGAATTAAAAACAAAACTCTCTGAAATCACTTAAAATATTTTATTTCTTTTATGAAAAGAATGATAATACTTGCCTTTGCTTATTATGAAAAGATACCATTTACGATATGAATGTTATAAAAACACTTTAGTAATACAAAAAGATCACTACAAGAATTTTAGTATAAGTAGTATCATCAATCTAGGATGGGAGACTAAAGACTGAACAAAAAATCTGTTCCTGTCAGCTTGATTTCATACTACAAATAAATACCTTGCTCTCTGTATAAAAATGGTTATGATACATGTGGAATGGCTATATAGGACTGTTGATCTAATTTAACTTACACATTAAACATGTCCTCTTAATCTCTTTTGCAGCAAAGTAGCATCTGCAATTTGAAGGTGAAATGTACTTTCTTGATATGTTCTCATATCAAGTAGAGGATTTACTTTTTGTCACAGTCTAACAGTCATCTTCAAAAGAAAACAAGGAATATTTGTATTTGCATTTGTTTGATATGTTGACCTTTGGATGCTTTTCTTGATGATGTGGTGCTATTGCAGTTGAAAGAGGTACACTTGGAAATTCATGAACCCCCCCCACTTTTTAGAGACAGATAAACTGACATTTCAAAACAGCATACATTTTGCTGCATCTCACCCACACCAATACCACAACATTCTCTGAGCTGTGTTTTTCTCGCCTGTTATCGTTTCCCCTTTGATTCCCCCTACATCACTTATGCATACGTGTGGAAGGGTGATCTAGTTATTTTTTCTTTAATCTAAACAGATTTAGTGCACCACGGTACTTTGAACCAGCAAAATCCTGGTGTCTGCAGATGCCCACATCACAGATGGCAAGTTCTGTCTCAAATGCTCGTCAATAAGTAACAGAAAAAAAGTTAAAATGAAGCCAAACCTTTTCTTCTCAAGTAAGTCTGGTATCATACTGGCAAGTTTATAGAAACCTACTTTCAGTGCATCTTTTTTATGGAAACTTATGACAAGCATTATAAGGTTAATTTGTTTGAATGCACATTAAAGTGGTATCCCTTTGGCATTAACTTTTTTAGTGGTCTTATAAAATGTCTTAAGCCAATACTTTTGGTTTGTCAAAAGTTAGACATTAATCCATGTTTTGAGTTTCACACACATGTTGTACAGAGTCAATCCATGTCTGTTGCCTTGTTTCAGACATAAGAATCTCACAGCTGCATTCTCTCTTTAAAAGATGTGCTACATATATTGTGTACATGTGTTCAGTGCGGAACCATTTTACCCTTTTTCAGATTCCAAAAGACAGTTTAGGTCCTTATTACTTAAAAAGTTTTGGGTAAAGAGTTTTAATCGGTGATGTAGAGGTGACCATGTTCCCTGAAGAAACGGTGGTCTCCAGTCCAGCCTCTAACCTCTGAGACGCCATCTCAGATTTGCTGAAGCTGCACTCCAGGAATGACATCCCAATCTTTTTCACCTGTCCATCTTTGGTCATCAGACATGGCAGACACAAAAGCCTAAGAATGGCTTTCCTCATGTCCTTACTTGTTAGGGTATAGATGATCGGGTTGAGTAGTGAGTTTATCATTGCCACTCCGAGAAAGTAGTCAGCCTTGTAGAGCAGTTTGCAGGTTTTAGCAGGGCAGAAAAAGTCCAGGAGCAAGAGGATGAAGAGGGGCAGCCAGCAAGCAATGAACACCCCGAGAACAATGGTTACCGTCTTGAGGAGGGCAACGTACTTCTGCGATTTCCTTGCCAAGCCCTTCCTCATGCTCCCCGACAAGCCCAGTCGCTGGCGATGTGTATTGACACGAACTATGCGGAACACTCTGGCATAAAGAACCACAATAGCTATGAGCACTGCAATGAACACCGACACGCAGAAGATAATGTAGCTTTTGGCGTAAAGCGGCAGGACCGTTGAACACTGGTCTAGTTTGTGAATGCAGTTCCACCCCAAAATTGGGAGGATGCCCAAAAATACTGCCAAAGCCCAACTTGCAGCAATCAGTGCCATCATCCGTCCCCGTTTTGCCCCATGGTATGGACGCATTGTCACCATAGTGACATGGCGTTCGATTGCAATGGCAAGCAGGCTTATAACAGAGGCAGCCAGAGTAATGAAGACCCCTCCTTCCCTGAGGAACCATAGCAAAGGGGTCAGTTTCAAAGTATAATGTCCTGACGTGAAGATGTTGGCCATGTAGGTAATCCCAGCCAGCAAATCTGACAGAGTCAAGTTTCCCAGTAAGTAATACATAGGTATGTGAAATTTCTTGTTCCTCCATATGGCGAGGAGAACTATAGCATTCTCCAGGATGATGAGGACGCACACCACCAGGAATGCAATGCGCTCTGGTGGCAGACTTTCACGGTAGCGATCTTTACGTAGCTTACCGGTATAGTTGTAATGCTCTGTAATGACAGATTTGTTCTGGTACTCCCAAAAGAACTGCAGACAGCCAGTATACGAAGAAGTAGGCGAAGTGGAGAAGATTGTTTCAGAAGGGGGAGTTCCTGCATAAGCAGAACTTAATGCCTCCATGTTGGATGTTGTTTTTCAACTACTTTACTTACAGCCAGTGGCTATACAGTCATTTTGAAGAATTTATGAAAAGTATACAAAAAGAAAGCTCTGGGTCCTTAAACAAATGCAGGGATGACATGAAGATGGTACAGAGAAATCCAACAGATTCCCCAGAGATGTTTATTTTCGCCAGAAGACGGTGCTCTTGAGTTCGTCCTGGTTACAGGTCCCAGACACTACAGAAAGAGAGGAGAGAAGCATGAAAATGATGGAGAGAAGAGCTGCCATTGGAAAACACTCCATACAACAGTTAACATGCAATTTATGAGACATTTTTGGACTAAGATACATCACTAATATACAATTCCTCTGTGAAGCAAATGCAGTTGAACCATATTAAACCAAAAATGCTTAAAGTTAAGCATGTTGCTAAATGTATATTTAGTGTTTGCATTTGCAGGACAGAATACAAGACTAAAAGTCACATGGATACATTTACTGTTAACTCAAGATTGAGTTTTTCCAGTTTTGCTCAAGGTGTGCATCAGCTAGGTTGTAAGACAAGAACCACAACATGTGCATTTAATTAAACACACATGATCCAGATTCTCACAGTCTACATGGAGCGTGTTTTAGACCCCCACCGCTCAACCCCCCCTTTACCTCCCAAAGAAAATATACTTAAAACCCCTTAAACTTTTGTGACAGTATCAGAATGTCTAAAATTTTACAGAATCTGCAATCTTTAAACATCTGTTCAATGATGAGTTTGCATTCTTAAAAAAAAGTTAACAATCAGTGGTGATAATTGTGGCAATTCTTGGAGTGGATGGAATGTTTTTCCTTTCTTCTTAAGTGAAATACTAATACAAACAAATGGTCTTGCCAGTTTAACCAATTCTGTCCAAAAGCAATTTGGAAAACATTCTTGTTCACATTAGAGATAAGTCCTTTTTATAATTCTGACTGGATCTGAATAATACGTGGAAATATCTAAAGAATAAACCGCACAAATATTTTCTTTTCTTTTCTTGTTAAATCATTATTTTTCACCTTTGTATTAGCTGTTGTGAAATATTTCCATGCACTGAATCAGGTTAGAAGGTTTCTCCAACATCAGTTGGTGAGTAAACATTATAACGTTATACTTGTATGAGATATCTCAAGCAAAGGATGAGATCTCTCTAATAACCTCAGAATGCTGAAAAAAATTACCGTGAAAATGATGAAATTGCCTTTATCCTGCCCTTCATCTGTTCTTCAGTCAGGAGAATCCAACCAAGAGCTGCGAGTAAGTTACCGTCTAACTGACAAGTGAGTGGGAGGGAGGAGTGCAGTCGAAACATGCAACAGCTCAGGGGGTTGGTCTAAAACCAAACTCCCTCTTCCCCCTCACATTCCCTCAAACTTCCTGTTGAAATCATCACAGACAGATGATAGCTGCTTCTGTACGTCTTGATGACACTGCTAATTGATTGTTGTTATGTGTGAGACTTAATCTAAATTTCCAACTTTACATAATATAACTGATCAGCAGACAAACAAGAATCCTTGGAAATGTACCTTTAAGCTTTTTAATATCACCATAACGACCTCTTCTCCATAAATGTAGTCACAGTTCAAGAGACCAAAGTATCTCATTTTAAGTTGACCACACACACAAGTCAAGCATAAAAAATGTCAGCCACAAAGAGAACAGATATCAACTTGAAATTTAACATGAAAACAAAGAAAAGTAATCATGAGGGAATGTCGACATTTTCAAACATTCTTCATAACTCTGCTTTACAACTCTTTCAATAAGTCACTGGTTTGTAAACCTTTTTCTGTTATTTTGCTTGCAGAACGAGTTCTCATCAGAACTGGCTCGGTTACAATTTCCCAAACCTCCCATGCAAGTTGAAATGAAGACTGTGAAGGTCTCAGTTTCCGTATTTTTCGCAGTTCCCACAGATATGTAAGTGACAGAAATCTGATCAGCAAAATTCACATGAGCATGACGATTTCTAAATTCAAAGTCTTTCTCTGTGAGATTGCGGCATGCTTTGACATGCCTCGTTGGTTTACCCGTAAAACTTCCCCTGCAGGCCTCCAACAAGGGTTATCAAGACCGAACAAAGCTTGAGAGAAGGATGATGTAGAAGGCAAACTTTTTTTTATTACTTTGTTTTAGGCTTCCAAGCCAGGAGCTTATGATAATAAACTGTCCTTATCATTCAACGTGATGCTTCAGTTATAAGCGCATGTGAAAATGCTGTGACTCAAACAACTTTCCTTACCCACAGAAATTTGACGGTTGGGAATCCTCCTCCCAATCCGGATGGTATTCCGGCACTTTCCTGTATAGCAGTGCGTTATTCAAACAGTTCAGTACAGCAAACTTCCACCTCTTAAACGTCTCTGTTGTAGGAGTATGATCCTCTTTGGTGCTGTATTTGCACACCTGAGACGGAATTGGTGACATACGCAGTGCTTTCTTAGTCATCGCGGCCCTTCTGTTTTTAAGTCTGAGTCTGACATTCATTTTTGGGTGGCAAAGGGTCAAGTGTCTGCTTTCCAGTTTTCTGATAGTGTCGCTTAAATACAACTGCTGACATACTGATACACACCAGTGGCTTAACTGTCATCTGAAGGCAGTTTGCTGGGAAAGAAATGCGTGCTCAGCACACACAAGGACAGCCAGGCTACTCCGGTATTTACTCTCTGTCTTCAGCCTATGTCTTTTGCAGTGTTCACTTGAGTTGGCCCCCGAAGCTTAATATATCTGTGTCTGCATTGATGAACCTAGTTAAGGACTTGAAGTCTGGATTTTTTTTTTATAGCCACATTTGTCTGTGTTGGAGTGTATTTTGAGTGTTTGTGTAAACGCTAAATGTTCCACACACACTCCCTGTTGTGTGCAATACTGTGTGTAGGAGGGTATTCCTATCAGGAGACCATTAAAGAGTAATATCCTGTCAGGGTGAATGCTGAGGCCCTTACATCAAAGTGCGGAGCGGAGAAAAAGTGAGGAGGAGCGGTATAACAGGCGAATTGGACTTACTGCTGTGGACAGGAAGGAAAAGCTGTCCTCTTTCATCCCTACTATTTGATCATTTAAGGGCACCGAAGTCTCGGCTCTATCCATTTCCTTGTTGTCATTTCTGTCTGCTTCTCTTCCCCCCCCCACTTTGCTCTCTGTTCACTATCAATTTATTTTCAATTTCTTACTTTCATATGGCCCAAGTATTACCCCAGTCATGCAAACTGCTTACAGTTAAGCGAGTTCCTCTTGGGAATAAATGTTATGCTGATTTAATTTTAACCGTATACAACACAGTACATGTTTGTGGTGCATGAAGGTTCATTTTTTTAATGTACACAGCCACCATGCTGAAAAGAGAAATACAATTATATGATGGCTTCTCTGAACTGGCAGCACTTCCATGTTCCTGTACCTTTGATAAATATAGATAATTGATTTGGAAAGCTATTTTATGACATCATTGTGTATTCCTTTTTTAAGCTCTGTAATAACTTATTTTTGCCTACACATAAGCTTGACCTTTACTTCCTCTCAGCAGAATAGAGGTTCAAAATATCCCACATGTTATTTTACAGCTTCAGCTTTCACTTCATTAGGAGTTTGATCTCTTAACAGCGAAAGATATGGAGACAGAGCTTTGGAACCGGATCTAAATGGTCTTTGTCTGCCAGGTTTTCCTCACTTAAAATTAGGGCCTCTCTATGGCTATCTTACCACTGACTCTCCCCCTGCAATCTATCACCAGACAGTTCTCAGTCCCACTCCAGTGATAAGGTCCCCAAATCAGGCCAGCCACCACATCTGTGATAAGAAAGAATTCCACTACTTCCCAATATCCATCTCGCTCTTTCTTGCTTTTCTGCTAAGTTTCTGAAGGGGAATGTTTAAGAAAAAAAAAAAGGCTACATTGAAGGATTGGTCAAGAAACAGGTCTCGTGACTGCGGCAGCATCTTGGTTTACTGACCAAGGAACAATGCATTAAACGATATGCTGATCAGTGCACAACTTGTTCCACTGAGAAAGCAAACCAAAAACAAGCAGGGAGAACATGCAAACTCCACACAGAAATGTCCATGTTCCCCCAGGGACTCAAACCCAGAACCCTTTTGCCTTGAGGCAATGGTTCTAACCACCACACCACCGTGCCACCCAAACAGAGCCTTTGGAAGTAAATCATTCCATTATTTACCCACATTTTTGGGGTGGCAAGTAAAGGATCCAACAATTGCTGTTCCTCCCAAGTGTTGGATTGTATCATTTACGATCAGTGGATCTTTGCTTGTGTCCCCTTGGTACTGGAAAACGTATTTCATGCTTCAGTAATAACGACGAAAAGAAAAAAAAATCCTTGCAGTGTGTTACTTTGTCCAACACAGCTGAAAACAAGGCAACTCCGGCTTTCCAGCAACAGTACTTCATCACTTTATCACTACAATCAATTCAATTTCAGACAATAATTGTGACAATTATCATCATTTTGTGATTGTTAATGATCCCTGATCACCATATCTCAATGCTTTCTCAAATGAAAAAAAATAATTCAGACCCTGGTATCAGTGGCCTTATTCCTTTGGTCAGTTTCCAGATTTTGTGAGCATTAAGGCAACGTTTACAACAGTACTATTTTGAAATGAAAGGATTCAAGGTGTCAGCGTTGCACAAACAAATGCTTTAAACTGCCAGGGACCTGAAGTGAACTGACACCATGAAGAGTAGGCCAAAAGTATTCCACAGCAATATGAGAATCTGGTAACATTACACTAACCCTGACCCTTTAAAAATGAGTTATGCCTTCTAAAGGGGATTCCTAACTCATTGTGGATATTTACTCTATATCTTTACTGACTGATTTAGCAGTTTTTATTAAAGGTATGATAACACTGTATAATGTATAACGTATTGCTGTTTATATGGGTGTTCCCTCAGGCAAATTTTAATACCTGGAAAAGGCCAGATGTCTTTATTTATTTATATGTTTATTTGGATTTATGTCCTGATAAGTTGAACCTTGTGACTAAAACACACAAATATATTACAATCAGGTTTATTTCATCCATGTCATGCAGTGTTGTTTGCAAAAAACCTTCAGCATTTCTCATTCACGTCAGTCTGTAGGTTTCCTTATTCTCTAATCTCTTATGCTTTTTCTTATACCCTCTACCTCTAACCATCTCTTTGCATGACCAAACGTGGTTTAACGCCCCTGAGTGTATTGTTTATTTGCATTTTCCAGCCAACTTGCATCAGATTGAGAGCAACACAAGGAGGATTTATGATGACCTTTATTCCTTTGAAGTGTTCAAGTACCACAGAGGCCTCAAAAGGATGGAAAAGCTCAGGAATGACTTCAGAGGAGAAGTCAAACTGGAGCTGTAGAAGTGATCTGGTCTTTCCCCGACCTCGGATGAATGGTTTTAGGTGATGCAGTGAAGAGCAATGAGTCGTCATAGTTGAACTCAGGAAATAACCAGCCATTACTCCAGTTGCATTTATGATATCAAATCACACCTTGGGGGAGAAAAAGTGAAGATACCTACCTGTGTTCATACATTCTTACGCGTTTGTTGCATTTTCATCTGTTTTTAGTGTAGCTTTTTTGTCTTTCTTTCCAGACAGCAGACGTTTGAACCCATCTGCAGTTTTCATCATGGTTTCCATTTTCATCTGTAGGGGTGGTTCAGGTCAGTTAGCACTCAGTTGGTGATCCGGTATTTTTCTCTTGGCTGGTCTCTGTGCTGACGGTTTTTGAGGTGTGTGCGGGCTGTTGGCTGGTTGTGTTCAGTGCAGCACTGGCAGGCCTAATGAGGTCCAGATTTGAGAACGTTCTGGTTTCGACAGCGATTCTCCGTCTTGGCTCCGAGGGGTTGTAACCATATCACTCAGGCATCGAGATGATGTGTTCAGGCCCCGCAATGCCAGAACTAACTCTCAACACCAAATCGAGATCTGCACCCCGAGGGCTTTTGTGAACGCAGCTCAGGTTTTGTTAGTTTGATTTTTGCACGTACGCTCACACTTTCACACGAGTATACACACACAATCAGCATGGCAGGATAATAATCAACTCTGATACAGTAATCAAGCCCAGACCTAATGTTCTAATTCATTTTGGCATGGCTTTTTGCGGTCGTCAAAAAGATATTTAACTGGGCTGAATCCTTAAAATATCATTTTCAGAATGGTACATAACGGATAAGTTCAGAATAGATCATTCAAAGTCAACACATGATGAAAAAAATGTCCACACGCTGATGTTTTGTTTTTGGGTGCAATGAGAAGTGGAGTAAACCACCCTTCACGTGATTATTTTGAAGTGCAATCTCTGGCTCTGGCATTTGGTGGCAAAGACATAACATGTACAACAGCAGTAGATTAACATGTGGTCGCTGGAGAATGACATAATTTATTTGAATCTTATAGTACAGTGCATCATGGTGTAAGGTGTGGTTGCCGTTCTGCTTGGATATGGGCACAAATCAAAAATAAGGAGCCACCTATGTGCACAACATTTCTTTGGTCAGGGAATACTGAAACAAAGACATTCTTTCCCTCACTCTTTCTTTTCAAATGCATGAAAGCTTGCCCTCATGCGCTTGCTAGAGACATGATGGTAATCAAACAAGATTGACGGACAAAGTCAAAGACAAGTGCGAGGAAGCCGTACGAATCCTGTGAAAAGCTCGCTGTGGGATTTTTCTTTTTGAACGATTTCTCTTTGATTATGTTTATATTTTCCCCCCTCGAAATTCTATCTTACTCTTGTTTTTAAAAAAAGAAAGGAAAAACACGGAGGGAGAGTGCAGGGCAAGCATTAAGTAGTAAGAATGTAAATGAATACCAGATCTGAATTTTGGCCTCCCTCTGCTTCCCAGAGAAAAACATATAAAAGTGCTGTTGAGACAAAGATAAGGTGAGAGAAAGAGAAGGCCTCAAGACATGTTTGGACCTGAAATCTATTTATCTGTATTTTTTTCCTACTTTTTATCCCCTTTCCCCCAATCAGCTTTCTCTGTCTATATTTTTGTTCAAAAGGGCTGATGAAGAAAAAAAGCTTATGCAAAGTAAGGAGCCAACAGTGCCAACTCAGTCAACCGGACATAAGGTTAGCGTGACTGGAAGTTGTTTCAAGGATCTCACGGGTTTTTCTCTACAACTTATAGTATTTATTTTCTATTGAAGTTCTGCTGAAAAATTTGCTGAAGCGAGTTGAACTTATAGCCCCCGACAGCTGTATAAAACCAAACCGGAGGGACATAGTCAGCCTTCATGGTTCTAAAACCTATTATTGGAGTGAATGTAAACCAGGTTCTCTGGCTTCAGATCAGACATTCCTTTAAGGAAAAATTTGACATTTTAGAAAGTGTGTTTATTTCCTCTTAAAATGAGAAGGTTGATGCTACTCTAATGTATCTAGACTTCTAATAGATTAAATTAACAAGGTTTCAAATTTGGAACGGAACTTTAAACCTTTTTTTTTTTACTGTGCTCAGCCATTGGTCCCTGGGTAATAGTAATTGTGAATGATTTGTTGTGTCTTGGCTCAGTTGCCTTTATAAATATTTCTGTTTCTAATTTACAGACAAGTTGATTCTTTAGGTTTAGACACAACTAGGAGAGAGTGCTCATGTTAGACCAATGTGATTTCTCACATTTCTCAAATGAGAATATCAGACCAAAACAAGCACAACTAAGACCAAAAACAAAACTGACATCCCTCAAGCTGCTTGTAGATTTTGCTTTCAGAATCAGATTATTGTTGACTCTGATCATATCTTGGGAGGACAGGAAATTCATTCAGTCAGTCCTTTAGACTAACATGCACATGCATGTAGCTCTGGTAACCCAACTCAACCTATTACTCCATTATCCCCATATTTTACAAATTTAATTTAGGTTCAGTAGACTTGAATTCACTACTTTTAATGTCAGAAAAGGTTACTGTGAGAGCAAAGGAAAATGTTCTACTTTCTTAAAAAACACAAACTGATGGAATATTTGTTCATAAGAGTGTGTTGTAAAAATGTTAAAAAGGGGAAGGTTGCTTTTTAAAAAGAATATGATTGAGTCCTAACCTTGATTTTTCTTAAATCCTAAATAAGTCATTCTGATTTCCAAATCAAGTGAAGTGGCTTTATTTCCTCTATCAAACCAAGACGCGAGTGACGTGCTTGTGTTATTGTCTGAACTGAAATTACATTTGTGACATGTTGGTCAAGAACATGTGTATTAGTGATTCATGAATGAATAAATCATTAAAAGTCATTGTTATAATATTACACAACAACAGTGTCAAAAAAGGTCTCGGTGCATGGAAACACGTAAAGATACGGATTATGATGTCATGACAAAAGTGTGGCGTGTAATTTCTGAGTGTTGCTGTATAACTGCTGCATTGTGTGCTTTGGACCAAAAGGAACTATTTCACTATCTGTCATGTGATCTGACTGTACTTTCTCACGGGAGATGCAAACGTGATAGTGCCACATGTTTTATTTCTTCACCACTTGTTTTAGATTTTATGTTTTCTCAACCAGAGAGATGCTCATTTGAACCCTGCGTCTTGTCAATGGTGCTTTAACAAGGACCCAAGATGTCGAAATGTGAATTCAACTTCAACACATAACAAGCTGTGACAAAAAAAATGTTGTTTTAGGCCTGTAATTCTCCTGCCACCGTTTGACTTTAACAGTGGATAACTTTTTATCATACTTGTGACTATCTTGGAACATAAAACCATAGTATTGAAGTCAGAAATATTCTCTACTTAAATCAATGCAGCAGAAAGATGAAAATCCTTGTA